AGGTGCACCTTGAGGCCACATGAAATGTCGAATTCCCGCCGACAGGTCACGCCCAGGTGCCATGCGTTGCCTTGCCTGAGATGACCGGCAGATGCACCAGCTGTGCCCCCTCCCCACAGTGCCAACTTGCTGCATGCCCTCTGCCCTCCGTTGTTGCTGGAGGACGACTGCCTCCGACTGCCCAGCAGCAGCAGCAGCGTTCTTCACGAGCCTCCTCCACAGAGGCCGATGTTGACCACCGCTGGTTACCGGTCATCGGCAAGTCCACTCAGCTCCACGCCCTCTCGTACCGCATCAGCTCCATCTCTTCTCCAGCCCGTGCCGTGCCCGTTTAGCAGCCCCTCTACCCGGCCCAACAGAAGCTGCTTGGGCACGCGGTGGCTGGGCACGCTGCGGGCTCCGTGACCCAGCCAACGCAGCCCTGCCCGCCGGAGGCGCTCACTGATGGGAATGTGTCCAGATGATTTGGGTTTTAGTGCCCTCGCCAGAGATTTCGCTGGGTGAGGAGAGTTGCCTTCTGTGGGGGAGCGTTTGTTACCGGTAGGAACCTCCTGGTTACACCAGCCCACAGGGGATTATTGTGTCCGTCCGTCGTGCAGGGAGGGGCTGGGTGGGGGGGGGGCTGCCAACTGGGAGGTCGGGAGTTCAAACCCAGCGTTTTTTTAGTTAATGAAAAGTTTTTTTTGGGGGAAAAAGAACACAATCAACAAGTACCGTTCATTATTTTATGCAAACTAGCACTGCAATTAAAGTTGGGAAATTGAGCATGGCAATTATTTAATAATCAGAGAGAGAGCAGTGTTTCCTTTGACAAAATCACACTGGTCCACTGGCTAATCTGGTTATTTCTGATTGAAAGCGTCCCGCGGTCCCGGGTTCGAACCCCCACAGCGGTATTCGTTTTGCACATTTTTTTATTTTGCAATTGCGTCATGGCGTCATGACGTCATCGCGTATACTCGTCACGCGATGACGTCACAAGGCGCCGCTGTCACGGCCTCGTGGTGTCGTCGGTGCACTAGAGATTATGTTGCGTCAACACATTCAGCCGAACATTAAAGACAAATAAACATGCCGGTATTGTGAGTGATGCAGGTGAACCTACAGAAGTGAGGGAAGGGCAAGACATGAAATGAAGGGACAATGAGATGCTGAGAGAAGATATCGAGGTGACACAGGAGGAGACGAGAGAGCAGACATTTTTTGCATTCAATACAAACATTACCGCTAGGGGGCGCTCTTTCGTTGTGAGCCTCAATCAAAGCCTAATTTTACTGCAAGTAAAGGACTCCACCGAGGTTTCGACGTTTAAGCTGCAGTACCAGCAGTTTACCGCAAAATCACAACGATATCAAGCGCAAGCGATTGAAAAAGTGCAACGAAACTGGAAAACGGCACTAAAACTAAAATTTTTACGTCAAAATGTGCTTTTAAGAGCTAATTCAACAATAAAAAACAATCGTTGTGGGTAAAAACAGACTAAAACGAATGACAGAAAAACAAATGCAAATAGAGTACATGGGCAAAACAACATTTATATCGGCTAATAATGAAAACGATTTATTTATGATAAAAACATTTTTTAGCAAAACCTTTATACACAACAATTATAGAGAGCACGTTGAAATGTGACTGGAATGTCAAAATGTTATAAAGTAGTAAGTACCCACAGTGCTCACGTCCTGTATTTTAAACAATCTAAACTCGGGCTGTTGGCGAACAACTCCCATTGGATGGTGTGGCCCACACGCGCTGTGGCAGACAAGGTGAAGCTCAGAGGAACGAAAATCAGAAAACTCCAGATGATGGCTCCCCTAGGTGGGAGACGGTGGTGGCCTTCTTGCAGCCGATCTTGTTACGCGTTTTCGTGTCGCCTTAATCACAACAAATTACCGTCATCTGACGAAAAATGGACAGGTCAATGAGAATTTAGATGGGATCAGCGGCGCTAAATGCAGAAAAACGGCCATCGAAAGGGCCACAAACCGAGACCGGACATGGCATTCCTGTGTACCAACTAAACAACGACCGGCGCTGAAAGACCTAAATGTGACTTTGAGGCCAGAAACCTATCAGGGAAAACAACACTGACGTTGCCTTGCAGGACAAACACGTTAAGGGCAGCATGCGGATGGTTAAGTTATAAAATAAATGGTTGTTACATCCTTCGATTTAAAGCTTTCGTGACTGCAGGGATTCATCTTCTTGGTTCTTTCGGTAAAGTAACGTAGAAGGGAAGTAATAAAATAATAAAAATAAAACATAATAAAATAAAATAATACAGTAAAATAATATAATTATTTTATTATGTTTTATTATTATTTTATTACTTCCCTTCTACGTGTCTTTACCGAAAGAACCAAGAAGATGTTACATCCTTGTTGTCATGTACCACCCCGAAAGATGGCCCTCCTTTCGCCAAATTCATCATACCCAAAGTCTACCACCAAAAAGTGACGGCGGACCAAACAATAACTTCCGGCAGTGGATGATGCGATGGTCATCAATGAATGAATACAAGCTCCCGAATAAGGAATGGCCATCACCGACCTCTGCCCAGCAGTCACTTCACCCAGCTACCACCACCACCACACAAATGGATGTTACTCGAAAAATGACGAAGCCACAAAGAAACTCGAGGAATGGTTGTCGCACAAGACGCGCACCTCATTCGGAGGCCCAAACACTGCATTCTCCTCCTTGCTTTGACATTCCCCCTCTAAGACGCTGGTCGTTGCCATCGATCGCATCAGAACACCAACAAGGCCGTTAAAGATCGACAAGATATAAGCGCCAACGTTGGCCATGCAACTCACACGATGGACCACAGCAGTAAACCACTGCCAGTCGACGCGCCTTCAATGGAGCAGGAATAGCAGCCTCACGCGAACTGTAGCCCTGTGGCCACACCAAACCTCGACATTGGCATTTCGCGCCTGTTCAATTATGCGCGTTACCTCCTTGCCAAAGACTTTTATTTGGTAAACTATTAGTCGTGTACTGTACTTCGGCATGTCCTTTAGCTGGAGAAGCCCTATTGTGATTAGCCCTATTGTGATTAGCCTCGTTAGCTGTTTGCAATTTCGCGCAATGGACGATGGGTTAGGAGACGCTGATGGGTCGAGACATCATGCAGGAGCTAGTGGGAATGAGCACCTTCCAGCATATCATGAATACGACACAGTTCTGTGCATGGAAGCCACTTCCGGCAAATTCAAGCAAACTGGAAAATCAGGGTGGGTAATGATGATTGACGGGCAAATAGAACAAACAGGAAACCAGAACATATCTCTGACGATTGTGTTTTTGTCCTCTTCGTTCGGAACATCTGCTTTTGCCGTGGGCAAAGCACCGCGTGATATCCTTGCTGCTTTCCAGCCAGCGCCACGGTTCTATTTGTGTCGTAATAAATTGAGTCGAGCGAGCTGGATCTGAGCCCATTTTTTTCTTCTGAGCAGCCGCGTTCTTATCCGAAGCGCGCCGTGTTTTGTGGTTCAATTTGTCCTGAAGACGTTTGAACAACATGGGAAAAAAAAATAGTCTTACATTCCGTGTGCTCTTCAACCACTCGTCCACCAAGCCTGGTTAAGCTAGTGCGGAGCCTGTAGCATGTTATAAAGGGGCCCTAAATTAACAAAACACAAATATTAAAGCACACAAATGTTTAACTTGCATAGTAAATTATTTTTTCATAAGCTATACAGCCGGATAATATGATAAATCGCTAACCTTAAACACCCAGTCGTTCATAAAAGTTGAAGGCGGTATAGTACTATAGTATTAGAGCAAGTGCAGAATCACTGAACCGGAATTGATGTCTTGAAAGTAGTTAGCGCGGGGCCCTTGAAAATGCGGGGCCCGTAGTTACTACATGTGTAGCTACTTTTACTACGAGAATAATCCGGCACTGCTCTATAGTTTTCAAGTTAGATTCAGTTGAGATATTGCTCCCAAAAAAACTGTTTATCAGCCTGTAACTTCTCACGGCTACGCAAACGCCTGCCACAGTCTCTGTCACTCCGTCCTTACCTTAGTTGGTCTTGTCCAGCCCGTGGCTTACGAACATCTCTGATTTAATCTCGCTTCCATCTCTCGCCGCACGCGTCTTCGCTCGCATCCTTGCTGCTATCTGCCCCGGAGTTGTCCCAAGTGAGAAAACTCGAAAGAGCGAGATACCACCTGGTGGCCTGGAAGGGTGCCTGCATGTTGGTTACACGACGTTTACGAAATGTTGATGTTTTTAAAGGTATTTTGCAACGGTGGCACAGTCGAGTTTTTTTACAATCGGGTTTAATTGTCTTTTTATATTAAACCCGATCATCTGAGATTGGGAGAAATCCGGTTTAATTGGTTCTAATTGCAGAACCGCACTTCTCAACGATGGGCTTCATCCATTCCAAGCTAAGGAACTCACTGGCGCCCACGATTGTGGAGGAGAAGCTCGTGTTCATCACGACCAACCTGCCCGCCGCATTCTACGACTACCCCGTGCCCGACGCCCCCGAGTACGATAGCAGCACCGACGAGGAAGCAGCCTAAGCCTTGGATCAGAGTTTCGTATTCATTAAACCAGGTTTTAATTCCCCGAAATCGGGTTTAATTGTATTAATGAAAAAACCCGATGCCTGCCGCTGGAAAAATCGGGTTTTTTCCACCCATGGTATTTTGGTCCCAAGGACATGATGATGCAGAACCATTAAATATGATTGAGACAGTGTTTGGTATTAAGTTATGCACTGCCTGGGACTGATTTTGTATCTGTTTTCACATTGACAATCGTGTTTTTTTCACTCGTGGAGAATTTGGCCCAATATAAATACGCATGTGACCACTGCATTTAGCTTAATAGTGTGCAGACATTTCGAAGCTCTAACTTAACTGTTGAGTTATCAGTGTAACAACGCAGATGTCCTGTTAATCTATTATTCATATGGACCCGTATGTGCAATACGCATACATTATGGTGCTTTGCATAAAAAACGACAGTGCACTCAAGCAAGTATGTTCTCTTGTTTATTTTGTCACCTCTGATTAATATTGGTAACATTGCATAGAAGCTATTTTGTATTTACACACTTATGGGTTACAAGACGACTCTTTAACAGACTCGGTTACATCAGGTGACCGTTGTGAATTGACCAATTACACTTGGTTATACACCCCAAGGTGGCAGTGGAGCAGTTATATTGCAGCAATGGTCAGTTTTCATTTTGGGTGGAGAAACCCCGCCACTATAAATATGTTATTTATTAGAAAACATACGTGTGTGTGTTTGGTTACACAACTAGCACTTTTTAAAATAAACACACAGCGGTTGTTTTATTGCGAGCGTACTGTGTGTCATGCGTTTCGCCCACCTTAGATTACAACATATTACAGGGCGGTTTCTTGGTCGTAAAAAAAAACATAACAAAGCTTGCAGTGTAAATTGTTCCAGAGTGAGTACAATGAACAGTTCAGTTGAAATGAATCGTTGCTCTACAGCTGTTTTAAGGGGGTCTATCTGCAGTGACGCAGTAAAATCTGTATACAGTATAAGCCCACCTAATTCGGTAACATAAACCAGTTCTGATATAACCAGCACGTGCTTACAAGGCAGTGATGATGGCGGGGGAGGGAGAGAAACGGGGAAACTTCTGATAAAAAGACACTGCTTCGGACATAAACAAGCATTGTCGTCACATCCCACTCAATCTTGATTTGAAGCTTTCGTGACTGCAGGAATCCATACTCTTTGGTTCTTTCAGTAAAGTCACGTAGGTAGAAAATTAATAGATCACGACGTGTCTCACCTGATGACGGTTGCGTGTGTTGCGATCGAAACGTCGTGATCTATACATTTTCTACCTACGTGAATTTACCGAAATAACCAAAGAATATCTCACTTATTAATTATTTCACGGAACGCTGTTCGACTGGTCTCAGAGCAGGCATGGCAGTGAACGGCGCCGCCTATCCATGACCATCCTTTATAATTGTGGCCGATGTTTGCTATGATCCTACGAGCAAATTATGGAGCACAAACTCAGCGCGATGGATGTGGCGCGTGCCAAAATAATTCCGGGAGCGTTGTTCAGGGCTGTTCATGCTGAAATGAAGCGCTGTGATGCTCTTTCTATTCTGCTTTTTGTGTCGAGTTTGTTGTCTTTCCCCGCACTTCAGATTAGCACGGTTGGCTACGTACGGCGCGAAAGAAGTTCAACATACATACATAAGCACAGCTTGCCTTTGTCCGCCTTCTACTGCATGGTAGAGAAAACACAACTGCTGGTGCTGTACTGTGGTCACATGTAGTCATCATCCATTGTCGCCAGGGAGCTGGGAGCCCTGGAATTGGAGAGGTGGGGCGAGTTGTAACCCTGCAAAAGAAATGGAAAATTACAAATAAATGACGGGTGTTTTTTTCCTTTATAGGAAATTGTACCGTTTCTGCAGGAACGACGTGGTTTCACTTTGTGCAAGTGGCAGCAACAACAACTCCACGTCACCCGAGAACGGCTTGATTGTCTGCTTTGTTTTTTGCACTGGGCACACATCCTGGTCATACACATGGCTGAGTTAATGCCAGCAGAGCTTAGTCAAAGAGGCACACCTAAATCGTAAAGCAAACCGTGCCCAACTGATAAATAAGTCAACTGTAGCCACACGCAAAGTCAACTATCGCCGACGCGTAGCCAGATTCAAGTTTGAGTGTCACGTGAGCTAACGTGTTTCGAAGGTTATTTATTTTAACATGGATACTGCTTCATAAAGAAATAAACACTTTAGAAGTGGGAAGGAGGTTGGGAGATATGGGCGGTTATGCAAGGCCGCAATTATAATATATATGCTCAAAATGTCCCCCCCAATATATTGCTATAAAATAGATTTCTGTTTATATGATTGTGGTTATGGTTGTACTTTATTAATCCCTAATCTCTGCCATTACCCTAACCCTAATTGAAACAAGAAAAGGTAAAAAAGAAAAAACAGAGAAATGTAATACAATACACTATTAGACATTATTGTAACAAAATAAATAAAAAGTCCACCCTATGTGTTAGTGAATTTTTTAAATATTTTAGGCAGGAAATTATTTTCAAATTTAGATTTTTTTTTCTGGGGGGGGGGGGGGGACCCCCAGACACCCTGGAAGATTTGGTCGCCCCAATGTTGACTCCATGGCTACGGCCTTGCGGTTATGTGTACCGCAGTTATATTTGGACTTTACTAAATCGAATTCCATTACAATGGACGGCCATCCAAAGCTGAGAAATAATGGTAGAGACAGCAGTACACAAACCAGATGTAATAGCTGGACTGGGATAATGATAAGAACTAGGAAATGTGTTGTGTTGGAGGGCCCTAAGCTGTTGACATTGCCTTCGTATTTGAATTCTCAAAAGATGACATTCACAGCGGCTGTAACTCTTGCTTTTATACACACGTACTGGCAGTGCCGGACATTTAACCATTGTTTAAATAGGTTTGCTAAATTACACTCATTGACATTAATTTACTTCGTTTAAAGTTGTGCACGTAAGTAAATGCACCACAGACGCAAAAAAACGAAGCATCGAAGCAAAGCACCGTGTGAACATTTCAAAAAAACAAACCCGGGCCCACACAGAGAAGAGGCTAAAAAAGAACAAGCGGCGTTTGAAAAAGAGAAAAAAGTAGAGTCAAGAATAAAAGGTACCAGAAATGAAGCACGACAAGAGAAGAGACAGCAAGGGGGTGGACATTTAGTCATCGGCATCTTTCCCAGCGTGGTCTACCGAGCTGGAGAAGCCCTTGGCGGCCGAGCCGCGGTTTTTGGTGCGGATCTTGACCAGCGCCGACTCGGCAATGTCGGCTCTCTCCTCCGCCTCGTCGAGCTCGTGGATGGTCTTGCGGTATTTGGACAGGTTCGTGTTGGCCTCTTCCTCCTGCGGACACCGGGTGGTTACGTTCACCTCTCCCCCTACACGCACCCAGTTCTCTCGCGATGCACACGGTCAAATCATTCGTTCGTAGGCTTTGTTTAAAGCCGGATAAGAGTCCAATAGTTTGGGAAACTGGGATGGTGGCGAACTGTTAACTACCTCGCCTGGTATACAGGAGGTCGTGGGTTTTGATCCCGACCCTGACACCTGTATATTTGAAGTTTGCATGTTCTCTCTCCTTGTGGTCGCGTGGATTTTTCTATAGGCCTTGCGGTTTTTACCTCCACATTTAGAATCAACATCATGCATTTAGAGTATTTGGCTGCTATAAATTTCCACATGCTGACAAGCCGCTTCGTCGAGTTATAGTTTGTGATACCACTGGGTGGACAGACAGGGAAATGAGCTATATAGCTCAGTGGGCCTTATCTAGTAAAATAAAAAAAAGTAAAAAATATATTTTTTTACTTGCATGCAATCCAGTGTTGCCGGTTTGATCTCCCAGCGTGGCAGATAAAACGGTGGTGCACATTTCTTAAATCCTCCCTGTCTGTCCACCCAGTGGTATAAATGAGTATTCCACAATGAGTCGGGAGGTTGTGTGTGGGTACTGCCACCTCTTCCAAGATGTCTGGTCAACAGTCGAGGCCCTGTCACCAGCAGTGGCATGAGAAAGGCGATGTTTTAACGCTGCACCTTTTACCGTCATATTTAGTTTCATTAAATACAGTTGAGTGCTTGATTTTGGCAATGACGGAGTGAAATTCCTGCATCTCAGCTTTTTGTTGTCGTTATTGCAAGGCTTCACTTATTTTCTACATTATCTTTTCAAAAAATAATACTTGAAATAATCTCCCATACAGCCTTTCACGCTGCTGAGGAAAAGCATTGTTTGCAAGCCCCGATTAAGCACGGCCCAGCCACTGAAGATGTCGGTGTAGGGGTAACAACACATGTTGCTTCCCAGTGCCAATGTTGACGTTTCTTATCAATACTTCCCAGGGACTCATTTTAGGCCAGGGTCAGATTCCATTTTTGTCAAGCAAGGGGTCAGATACCAATGTCCACCGATTTCGAGCACATGCCAAATAATATTTAGCTCCTTACATTCCTGTCTGGTAACATTTCTCAGCCTGATAAGATAATTCAACATAGCACGCTAACGACTTCGACAATTACCGTGCAAACGTTCAGGCACTCTGTTTAAAAATACCCTCCCTGTGAAACGGCATCTCGCAACGTTCCCGCATTATTCACGCGATGTTAGCCGCTGAGGTTCCTTTCTCGCATGTTTGTACAGACGTACAGCAGGAGGCCCGTGTTGCTTCAAGTGACTCATGCATTGAGATTATTTCGGTTATTTTGCCGCAATTAATTTTCCACGTGACGAGCCACTTTGTTGAGCAATCATTGGTGGCCAGGTCGCTTCTGAAAAACAAGTTAATAATACCTCGGTGGGCTTTGCCTGGTAGGATGGGGATGATTTCGTTTCATTTGCATGTGTGTCGGGTGATTTGTTTACCTTTCTTGTATCGTGTTTTTGTGTTGCCCCTAATGGACATCTGTGAAAAAGAGCTTTATAGCTGATCGGATTCCTCGAGTATACATATTCTGAGTCTGACTCCAGGGTGCGCTGCAATGCGCTCTCTGTAAGCACCGCGAATACCTGCGCAGTCGTATCGCCATCTTCTTCGGATTATATAAAGCTCTGGAAAGTAAGACGCACCCCCAAACCTTGCCTGGTGTCAATAACGGTATTTAAGAAACACGAAGATCCCCCGTTTAGCCTTAACAGACTGTTGGGACAAGTGCTGTTAGCGAGCACCTATGCAGGCCGGCACGGCACACAATGGGGTGGGTGACCAGCACCATGCTCGGCCGCATTTGTCTCCCCCAGTGGCAATGTTTTTACACAACGCAACAGGTACTAATTTGAGGCTGAGTCGACCTAGGGGAGGCCCAGGACCGGTTCAGATGATTGTCACCGGTATTGGCCGTGAGAGGAAATCAAACCCAGGTGGCCATTTTCGTAGCGCAGCAGCGATAACCGCTCCAATTGCCAATAACGGTCATACCAATCTGGTCACACACACACACACATATTCACTTTAAGATGTTTTTTGTTCATGTTTTTTGTTTTTTGTTTGTTGCGGTTGCACCCGATTCAAGAGCTGAATGGCTCACAGGGCTATACCTAATAAATGAACTTGAACTTGAATACCCGCCAGTTGCCACTAAGTGACGTTGACGTCACCACGGCGCCTGTGCCAGGCCAGGTGCACTTCGAGGCCACGTGAAGTGTCGAAGGCTCCCCGCTGACAGGAGGTCACGGGATAGACCCTGGTGCCATGGGTTGACCGAGATGACTGGCGGATGCACCGGCTGTGCCCCCTACTGTGCCCCCTACTGTGCCAACCACTGCTTATAAATCCGGAGAACGGGGGTTATGGGATGCGGTGATAAAGCGGCAAAGCATTAGGGAGCGACTCCTCACCACGAGCTCAAGCTGCCGCTTGTAGGTCTTGATCTTGCTCTGCAGCTTCTCCACCAGCTCCTGCATGCGCGCCTGGTTCTTCTGATCCTCGTCCGTTTGGAAGATGAGCTCCTTCATGCGCCGCTCGTTCTTGCGCAGGCTCTTGATGGTCTCGGCGTGCCGTTTCTGTTCGGCGTCGAGCTCGCCCTCCAGCTCGCGCACCTTCCCACAGACGCCGAAGGAGACCACACACACAGCGCGCCGGGCGGGCGGAGAAAATGTGGCCTTGGCCTAAGTCCGAAATGGCACCGCTAATCCTTTATTTACCCAGAGGGAAACCTCGGACAAGGGAAAATTTACGATTATGAACTGACAACGCCGCTCAGAGCTCAACTCGAGTAGCTGTTTTGTTCCGTAACGTTTGTTTTCTTATGCTGTATGGCGACAGAAACACGTCCTCTTCCAACTTGGAATATATTTTAACTATTTATTTAAACACAAAGGTTAAACGTGCCTTCCAATTTCACTATGGATGAATGAATAAATGCAAGGCAAATACATAACAACAGCCGTGTTGCCTCGGAGGAGGATACTCTGATTTTAATTAAACTGGAATGTTAGCTCTCGGTTAGGATATGCTGCCTAGTGTTTCTACCATAATGGGAAAACACACAATGGACATTTTCCTAGCAATGACATCCAACCCAACCCAAACATATTAACAGTAAATATTGAATATTTCTGATGACCGCTTCTAAAAATCAAGCAAGTCGAAGATACATTTTACACAGCTTTGATTCAACACTGATACGAGGTTGTCCAGTATTTGGGTAGAGCAGTAAGTGATTATTAAATCTATCTGAGTGGAGTTGTCAGTGTTAGCACCTCATCTGGGTTTTCTCCGGTTATTCACATTTCCTCCCACGGCTAAAACAATCATGGATGGAGTTAGCCAAACAACTTTAATGCAAGACGCTTCTTAAAAATAATATTGATATTCAATGCAGCTTTCTTGGGGAAGGGTATTAATAACATCACTATTCTGAAAAAAACAAGTTGGTAAAATGCAAAGTATCAGTTTCTATTTTGATACTGGCACAAAGGTTCCATAGATATCAGTTGCTATTTGTTCGTAAACATTAGATTAAGTCTATTTTTACATTTTGTTGTGGAATACTTGAACCGATGCTATCACGAAACAGGCGTTTGCTTGACGATGCATGTTGCCAGCAGACATTCATCATCACTATGTGAGAAAAACAGGCTTATTAAACACACAGCTAGCAATTTAGCTGAATGTGTTTGGACCCTTCTGGCAACCCGACTTTGGGCCTGAGACACATCCATCTGCGCGCAGCTGACACCCAAGGCAGATTTACAGGAAACAGCGGGTCCTGAAACAGCTTTTAACATGTGCAGCAAATTAACTGCTAAATTTACAAGAATGCGCTCAAAATGAGCCGGACTACGTCTGGGAAAGTTTAAACGTCACGCTATACCTGCACAAAATATTGCACGATCTTTTTAATCAAAAAACGATCTTAACATTTTCCAGAATTTGAATTAAAACTGCGTTAAGTAATCAACCAAAACATTACTGCAGATTACAGACGCCAGTGACTTCATTGTTGACCGCTTACACATTTTCTGACTTCACCGTGGCATGTTTATTTGTACATTTTCTTATTTTTTTACTCCATAAAACATACTAAAAGGAGCGCGATACGTCAATCCGTCTCCAATGGGAGTGCTTTTTAAAAAAAAGATTTGGCCTCGGGCATTCACGCACATTATGAGCAAATGCTCCGAAGTGGCTTTCAATCCTCCATTCATTTAGGGCCACTTTTTTCTATGCACGGTGCATTACCTGTACCCCCCCCCCCCCCCACACACACTCACTACTCCCCGAGAGCATTGTTCAGATTCCACTTATTACAGCCCTAACGTTAATTTACTCTCGTTACTGTGCGTCCATAGAGAACCACGGCTGCAACAATTCACTGCACGTTTCACGAACAACTCGTGGATATTATCTTTGCCCGACGAAAAGGCCTGCGCTACCAACACGGGCAATTCCTCACGCCTCGAATAAATCACAAGGCTTTTAGTTTTCTCGCTTGAAAAACGTTAACGGCTTGAACGCATTAAGGAAAACACTGCACACTGATACAAACGAACCTGGTTATGTACACGCTAATTGATATCTAGGAGCCTTCATCAAGATTTATACGTTCTTAACGGTGGCTATTGATCTAAGTTGTATTTCTTTATTTTTAGGAATATTAGCGCTGAGATCCATGACCGGGGTGGTATGTGGGTGGCAGAACGCAACTTGAGTGCGACGCGTGAAAACCTCAAAGCTCTGGGATGCGTGGTGATGTCGCCAGCTCGCACTTTCTCGCCCCCACAGCCATCCAGCCAGCCAGCCAGCCAGCAAAACGTTGTTATAATATACTATGACCAAGAACAAAACATGTAAAATGTAAAGTTGCAGCCCGACAATTGCTCACTCGCTCCGTTGCTGACGAAAGGACGTCCATTAGAGGAAGTGCTAGAGAGCCCCTCTGGGGGGTATTTGGCCTACTCTTCCACACTGCCCCATCTATACTGCTGGTTGGACAGAGGCGGTGGGGGTGGGAGGGTCGGCGGAGATTCAAGAAACTTGCACCGTGACGCGAGATGGAATCGAACCGACGACCTCGGAATTGCAGGTCCACTGTGCTGACCAATGCACATCGCTCTAGCGCCCTAACCCCAATATAACGAGCGGCGATGCCAATTACATCTTGCATGCCGATGTTTTTTTTTGCATTCACTGCATTACATTGTCACGAGGACATTGGTGGCCTGAACACGTTAAAATCACACTGGAGGAATGCGCAATCTTTTATTTGAGAAATTGTGTAATTAAGACACACGTGATTGCAGCACAACATGTGCCTCATTACAGCAGTCACACTGCAAGCAGCCAGGCTGCGTGGGGTCAGAGCGGTGGTGTAGCGGTTAGCGCGCTGCACTGCGCTACAAACCTGACGACCCGAGTTAGATTCCTGCTCACGGCCAACACCAGGGACGATTATCTGAATTGATCCTGGGCCTCCCCTAGGTCGACTCAGCCGTAAATGAGTACCTGGTGCGATGTCTAAACATCGCCACTAGGAAGACAAAGGCGTCCGGGCGTGGTGCTGGCCACCCTCCCTCTTGTGTGCCGTGCTGGCTTTCATAGGCGCTTGCCAACAGCACTTGCCCCGACAGTCTGCTAAGGCTACACGGGGGATCTTTGTCTTTGTTTTTTTTGTGACAAGTGAATTTACCCTCATTGACAATGCCAACTCCCACGTGTGCGGTAATTGGCTGTGCAACATTCTCATGGTTATGTGTGGTGGAATATATTTGTTGGGAAAGTAATTTATTTCATGAACCCGCTATACTGGGGATGCTGCCGCAGTGCAATGGCGAGCGTGACGGGGCTTGCGATCCAGAGGTCGACATTTTAGTTCGTTCTCTCTCCCACATGGCACTTGAGACAGTGGGGCAAGTGGATTAAATCCCTTAAATCCCACCGCCTCTGTACAACGCAGCCGCATGAATGGGTACACCTCGGTCGATCGGAAAGTCGCACGCGGTGGGGTAAAGTTTGGGTACTTCCATCTCTTCGAAGATGTCTGACCGGCTAGCGAAGGCTCGTTTGTTATCCTTCCCCCAGCACCTCCAGTTAGCACGGTTGGCTATGTACGGTGCGAAAGAAGTTCAACGTACATACACACATTACGAGGCTCTTCCGCCATCAGTGGCGTGAGCCAGGCATTTCAGCGCTGGTACCTTGATCTCCAGTTTCTGGATGATCTTCTTGCCGCCTTTCATTGCGATCTGGTCGGCCTCGTCCAGCTTGGCGGAGAGGTCCTTCACCGTCTGCTCCAGGTTTTTCTTGATCTTCTCCAGGTGTGTGCCATGGTCCTGCTGTTGCCTCAGCTCTTCCGCCATGCGGGCAGCCTGGCGCGATGTCGGCGACGTTCGCGAGAGCGAAGAGAGTCAACAAGGGCGCGTTTGTCAATGTTTATTTCAGGGGCACGCCCGGTGTGATGTGGGGCGCACAATATGGCCGCAACGTAATTCAGCTGCCAATCGTAATTCAAGTGGCGTTGCGTTCTCTCCAAAAACACGGCACACTCTGTTGTAGTTGAGTGGTCGTGTAAGATTAGGGCTCTCACCGGGTTCACGTGCTGGGGTTTAATTTAGGGTCAAAAAGCTGCGATGACATGCTTCATATTTAAACAAAAATAATCTGCATTGTTGGTATTTAATGTCAAGCTTTGCGACCCACCCAGCCACATGAAACTGACTAGATTATCAAGACCCATGTGGGAATTTCTGATCAGTGATTTTAATTAGTTTTAACCATCAAAAATTCTGGAGCTCTACTTACATCAATGATGGCCTTTTTAGCCTTCTCATCTGTGGACCGGTACTCAGAAATCATCTCCTCATAGGTCATCGTGAGGTGCTGCAAGTCGCTCTCCAGTTTCTTACGTTGACCATTCAAGTGCTGGTTCTAAAAAAAAGAAGGCAAGAAGTATTATTAAACATTATTCCGTAGAATATTTCTCGCAAAAATAATGATTAACGTTTAATTATAATCGCAAAAATATCTTCATGGGTGTCGAAGGGCAGTCTTCCTAACTCCATTAAATTAACTTTTTGAGTAAGAACTCACCCCCCGCTAAAGAGGGCATCGCAGTACTTTACAGAATGAATTAAACTAATATAAAATCAAGGCATTTAAAAATAAAAAAATTAGGGGCCATACTCAAGGAAAAGCTAGAAGGAAAAAATAAGTTTTGCAGTTTCCTGAAACATTCTCGGTCGAGTTTGCAGGGCCTGCCCTGAGGAGTGAGTGCAAGGTAAATCTACCAGACTTCAGATATAGGTGATAAAACATTGTTAAGTGCTTCAGATAATTAGTATGCCCCTCTCTCTCTTTGATCCACGCATTGTTAGAATTTACATTCTCGTTTACAGTTTTTTTGACATTGGAGAGGAGCATTCTCAAACCAGTTAGTCATTGACTCGTGCTGGGGCAGCAGAATTGAGGCAACAGTGGAAATTCCATATTTCCATGGTGGGCCCAGTCTGTGCAAAAGATGGCCTCTGTTGACCACTCACTAATTGATACAAAATTTTATAACCCCAGAGAGCCAATGGGCTGAATAGTCCCCCATTGGGAGTTCAACTTGCAACGTCCCCGTACTACCTGCCGTGACACTTCCTTCAGAAACACGATCATTAATTAAAACACGTGGAACTAAAGCGAAATGCATATTGGGCCTACGAAAAATACCCGTCGTTACTCTTCGCCGTACAAAATTAATGGCCAACGAATACTTGTTCGTGGCCCGATACTTCGGCGAACGAAATTAACACCGCAACCACGACGGGGGCCTTCACGACTACCGCCGCCACCGCCGCCACCGCCGCCACCGCCGCCACCGCAACAGCGAGGGCTAACCACGGCACCGCGCACCTGCGTGTCGGCCTCCGAGTGCCTCTCGCGCAGCTCAGCCAGGTCCTGCTCGACGATCTTGCGCGCGCGCTCTGACACCTCGAGGTTCCCGCGCAGCTCCTCCAGCTCGGCGAGCACCAGCGCGAGGCGCCGCTCGGCCACGCTCTGCTGCTCACGCAGCTCGTCCCGCTCGCGACCATCCTCGTCCATCTGCAGCTGCGCGTCCTGCGGGGGCGGCGGCGACGCAGCCGCATGGCGACAACGGTCACTCCGGGCCATGTGGCCACATTCAGATGTAAACTGGTGTTCGCCTCTTCTTGGTTCTTTCGGTAAAGTCACGTAGAAGGGAAATAATAAAATAATACAAATAAAACATAATAATATAATTCTCACGACGTTTCGGCCACCTGAGGACGGCTGCTTGCGTTGTGGCCGAAACATCGTGAGGATTATTTAATGTTTTATTTGTATTATTTTATTATTTCCCTTCAACGTGACTTTACCGAAAGAACCAAGAAGATGAATCCCTGCAGTCACGAAAGCTTTAAATCGAAATTTAGTGTTCGCCTTTTGGCGTCCTCTGGTCTAACACTGTTTTTGAGACTAGGCTCTCTAAACGAAGCTGTCTCTGGTGTGGACCAATCAGTTTCAAAGACAATGCATCATATACTACCAGAGCATGTTTTTTTTTGCATGTTCACCAAAAGTATATCTGGTTAATGCAGACAAGATTCCTTGCAAAAGGTTTAAGTTTGGTGTTTGAACATCTTAACACTTGTTTTATTGTGAGAAAGGGTAAAACCTATTCTTATATATTTTTATATTTCATGTTACCAAGTAAGGCCCACTGAACTATGTAGCTCTTTTTTCAGAAGCGATCTGGCCACAAATGATAGCTCAACGTAGTGGCTTATCACGTGGAAATGTATAGCAGCCAAATACTCTGAACGTACGTTGATTTTAAATGTAGAGGGAAAAACTGGAAGACCCGGAGAAAATTCCACGCAACCGCAGGGGAGAGAGAACATGCAAAATCCAAATATACAGGTGTCAGGGTTGGGATGGGGATCAAACCCACGACCTCCTGTATACTCGGCGCAACACAAATCCCACGCTGCAGACAAGCAGGTCTTGCCCACTGTGCGGCCGATGTGTCCACTATAAGAGCTGGTCTCTCATCCCACCGGCTCGCGGAGAAATGCTGCGTTGCTCCCTGTTCTCCGCAGTCATCGTCGTTCGCGACGGACAGCCGGAGAAGAATGGTTAGCACACTGGACTTGCGACCTGGACGTCACCAGTTTGATGTTCGATTCTATTTGTTGACCTTCGGTTCACGTGCTGCCAAAACCGCTCTGAAGAAGGTCACTGCCCAACAACATTCGGCTTCACGCGAACGCCGACAGAGGTAGATTGTTTTCAAAATAACAGTTTGAATGATACTTACATCATACCCTGTAGAGGAAGCTCTCTGCAGCTTTCTCGAGTGGAGGCCTTGAATTGGATTCCTGGTCACGACCACCATCAGTGGCGCGTGATATCTGAACCAGTGCCGTCCACCGTCGCCCCCCCTACGTTGCCTCGCCCGCACTAACCCGCACGGTGACGTATGATCAAACAACCCCCAAGGCCGACAGCTTGTGGAGGGTTTCACACTCTCTGGCGTGACAACACTCCCACTGGGGGCTTCACAACACTCTGCCGTTGCATCGTCAGCGGCATGAGCGAGAGTTTGCAAGCGCTCTACCTTTACCTGTTCTTCTTGTCTAAATGCTGTGTTTCTCGGTTATCTGTGGGTGGACTATCTGGATTGTGGATTAGCCGTGGTTGAGAATAAAAATGAACAGAAATAGTAAGTATGGTGTTCCATGCTAATCTGAGCCTTTAATTCGTGACACCTCTATTATTAGCTGCTGTGGTGCCCAATTACTTTGAGAAACAAGACATCTGTGTGCAGAAATACCCCAAGATGAATTGGCCAATCCAATCACATTCATCTTTAAAAACAAGTGTCAAAACCAGTAATAGTTTGAAATTATGCAGATTCAAAACAGCTAAAACCGTGAAAGAGAATATCTAATGCTAAAATGTATTACTATTATCACCAGAATATTATTCAAATAAATGTCTATTTTTTGGCCAAGGCTATGTATGCATTTCAATGTACAACCAGGCACGGGATAGCAATTATTTTTCAAGCAGTCGCATTCAGCTTATCTGCGCGTCGTCCTTGCATTTCCAACATCGGGAGAAACATCCATACATTTCTCCCGCTTTGAGAAAGTAACATTTCCCACATTGAGAACCACCGACTCACTGACGTCATGTCTGCTCTCTTCGTGACCCTCCTGTCAATGGCATCCTTTGGTAATCGCTATAATTGAGCGTGGAGACAGAAGGAGGTGCTCCGTAGTGGGAAAAAATTGGGAAGCCGGGAGGGAAATGCAATTATCTGTTTAACATGGACGTTTATTTTCTTAAATGAAATGCACTATCGCGTACATTTATGAATTGTACGGCGTTGAGCTGTCAACGAGGAGAGATGGATCCAACAGAACAATGATACTAAATTCAGGAACTGTCTCCAACCGAAGATGAAATTCAACAGTCACAATAAAAATGTATGGAAGCTATAAACTAATTATTTATTATTATTTAAACGTTAATGACATAAATCCGAGTCAAATGTCCCTCAGACACAAAAGGCAGCAGGAAGCAATGATGGCTAGACAGTACGATACTGTACTGATGAGTTACAATAAAAATACATCTGGGGTACAGTTGACTTGTTGGCGGTCACTGCATCGCGTGCTTTCAGATGCGCTTCTGCGGCCGTCTGGAACGCTCTTCCTTCCAATAATAGGAAGCTACCGGAGCAATGCACTTTTTAATCATCTCGATTGAAAACGTATTTCTTTAGAACTGCTGTTTATGTTTAGCTTGTTGTCCTTATTCCGCACCTCCAATTAGCACGGTATGTTACATACGGTGCGAAAAAAGTTGAACGTACAGACACACAAGGCCCTTTCGCCACGGCCTCCACTCTATTTAGCCGGGTGACCACGACAATGCTGGGCGCGGGATACACGTGCCAACATTAGCGATGTCACCTTGGCACGCAGAGCATTTTGCACTACCGATCGATCAATTGATAGCGTTGATAGCGTCGCCACCACCCATTGACGGGGGGGGGGGGGGCGAGCCAGGGGGCAGGTGACGTCGTCACCCCGAAGAGGGAGGGGGCCGTCGGGCTGCGGGGTCAACGCACCTTGACCTGCTGCTGCAGCTTCTTGACGAGCTTGCCGGCCTCCGCGTTGGTGCGGCTCGCGTGGTCCAGCTGCAGCTCCGCCTCGTTGAGGTCGTTCTCCATCTTCTTCTTGTGCCTCAGGGCCTCGGCGCGCCCCTTGGCCTCGGCCTCCAAGCTCATTTGCATGGACTCCATGCTGCGCTGGTGGTTCTTTCTGCAGGAGTGCCCCCCCCCCCCCCCGAGGCACACAGCGAGCGTTCATAACGTGCGGCGCGGCGGGGTGGTGCCCGGGGCCATGAAGGACTTTTGCTTTAATAACACGAAGTCGGCTTTCGCAACCAAGATAATCCGTAATAGAGGTTTTTTTTTGGGTGAGACTTTGATTTTGTTCGTCGTGAGAGCACGGCTTTTCTGAGTGCTTTTGGAGGGCGATGATATTCTCGCAAAGCTGGGGTTGCTACCTGTCCTGGTTTTGGGTTTTGTGAGGACATGGCTGTCCTAGGGGATCTGTCCCCCACTGCTCCGCACGGCTTTGATCTGCTAAGAAAACTATGGTGCTCCATCAACCGCTTCAGAACAGCGACTGGTCGCTGTTCTATTATTTAAAATAATAAAAATAAAACATAATATTTAACGTTTCAACCAAGAAGATGAATCCCTGCAGTCTCGAAAGCTTTAAATCGAAATCTATGGGAGACATCTTCTTGGCTCTTTCGGTAAAGTCACGTAGAAGGGAAATAATAAAATAATAAAAATTCTACATAATAAGATACAATTCTCACGACGTTAATTTGTTTTATTTTTATTATTTTATTATTTCCCTTCTACGTGACTTTACCGAAAGAACCAAGAAGATGAATCCCTGCAGTCTCGAAAGCTTTAGATCGAAATTTATATATAATATGTTCGCCGAGGTTTTTTTCTCAAAATATTCTCTAGGATTTAAAAGAATATTTCGGTGAAAAAATTACATTGATAGGCGCACAAATTGGAAAGTTGAATCAGTTTTAAATTAACCGTGTCAGTCTACTCTATTTATTACCCTCACCCCCTCAGTGTTGCTATTATGTCGTCCAAACTTCAATCTTAATTTTGGAGCTTTCGTGACTGCAGGAATTATTCTTTGGTTCTTTCGGTTAAGTCACGTCTAACGATAAAATAATAAATTAAAATAATAGCATATTACGACGTTTCGATTGCAACACAAGCAATCATCATCAGAAGAATCGTCCAAACTGTTTCCGCCGCTGCAGCTCGCCGTTTGTTACACAGGAAATCCCTTTGTAGCCAGTTACCCAGCTAGTTTCGGTGACAATAACTCAGCAGCCACGAACAACAACAACAGAGCTATTCTTGTGGCGAAGAGGCGTCCAGCCGGCAAGCCACGAAACTCGAGGACACAGATTTGATTCTGTGGAGTAGCACGATTGCTTTGTGTGTGTGAGCAAGTGAAGCACTTACACGGGCAAGCCAGCAGAGGGAGGCACACCACAAACTATGTGACATTGCACGGCAAATCAGTCGAAGCCACCGCTTTCAGCGCTCGCGCGTGGCTCTCACGTGGCAACTGCTTCTGCTCTCTGAACGCAGACAGCCGTCACTGCAGTTGCCTTCACGGCTCGCTCGGAGACGCTCGGTTTAGTTGGGGCCTCGTCACCGAAACAACGGTTATGTTATAATTGGGTTTTTTACCCTTCTATCTGGCAACAAAACTGACACCTTTTTTTACAAGGAGTCATGTTTGCATAGACCACAATACCTGCAGCCATAATGCAAAAAAAAACACAATTCTGATAATATATGCACTGTCCTTGAAGTTGATTGGTCCACACCCGAGACAGCTTTCCTTAGAGCCTTGTCTCACCCTGGTGTTGGACCAGATGACGCCAAAAGGCGCACAACTCAAAGACAATGCACCATCAGAGTATGAGAGCTCAGGGTAAGCATTTACACCATTGGAACCTCATTTGCCAGTAAAAAATATGATAATTGTTTTTTTACCCTTCTATCTGGCAACATAACTGACACCTTTTTAACAAGGAGTTATGTTTGCATAGACCACAATACCTGCAGCCATAATGCAAACAAAAAACATAACTCTGATAATATATGCACTGTCCTTGAATGGTTATGTTCGCACGCTGAAACATACACCACTCGGGGTTGCCACCTGTCCGTCGTGTTTTTTAGGTTCGCGTCCCGGAAAATCTGTAGGTCTTGCCAAGTCCCAATTTTTTTTGTCAGTTATGTAATAATATGCTGCTCAAGATAATGCATTTAACCGTGTAGTTTTCCCGCTCCTGGGATTGTTGGAAATTCGTTCATCCATGATATGTGTCCGAGACTGTTGTACCTTAAACCACAATCTCGTCAACTATCACACAAACTCTGGTTAACCATAAAACAAAGACGGCCATCGCATAGCGCGCTTTCAGATGCGCTGTTGCGGCCGTCTGGAACGCTCCTCCTTCAGAAATTAGGAAGCCACTGGAGCTATGCACTTTTAAATCATCCAGATTTTAAACTAATTTCTTTAGAACTGCTTTTTGCGTTTAGTTTGCTGCCCTTCCCCGATTAGCGCGGTTGGCTACGTACGGCGCGAAAGAAGTTCAACATACGTACATACTTCAGAGGTGGAAACCCTTCTGCATACACTCAGCCGATGGGGTATCTATGTATGTTGCGGGTTGCTTGCCAAGGTACCGTGTAGGTCGGGCGTCCAAGGCACACCACCGCTGTGGACTTCCTTCACAGCGGAGTGATGTATCACAGGTCTTTGAAATTCTCCATGCCAGGTGTGTCCAATTAGCGTAATTGGATACATGGCTGCATGGCCCCACTCCAATTACCTCCATTGGCTGCAGCTGGCACTGGGAATTTTAAAGGCCCCCCCCCAAAAAAAAAGGCTCCCCTCTCCGCTTGTTCCAAATTGAAGCCCTGGGGGCTCAGGTGAGTGAGTTGTAAGACAACCGATAACAGCGACCCCAAAGGACTGGACCCAACCCCCCCACCTGATGGCCTCGAACTCATCCTCCTTCTCCTGCACGCGGCGGTCGATGTCGGCCTTGACCTGGGCCAGCTCCAGCTGGATGCGCACCACCTTGCCCTCCTCCGACTGCCGTGAGGGGAGAGAGAGAGAGAGACAGCGCGCACGCGGGCGATTAAATCAGACGGCTGGCTGGCTGCTGTGGGCGGCTGGGCCCGCAGGGGACCTCGCGGCAGGCCCTCGACAGACGGCACTTCGGAGCCCCTGTGCAGAATTCGGACTCCCCATTTTTACCCATCCACTGTTCTCCAGACGAGGGGCTCTCTCGGGCCGCCCTCTGTCAGAGGCCCCTCCTGCCAGCGGTGGCGCGAGCGAGGAATTGCAGGTGCCGCCGCCGCCTTCACGGATTCCCTCTGGCCCCCCAAAGCTGTTACAATTGTCGTTTCGTTCTCTCGGCTCTCTCGGTAGGGGAGTCATTCTTCAGAGATTTGGACAAAAGAAAATTGAGTCTGTCCAGACCCATCTGTGCCGAGATGAGTTTTTGTTTGCAGGTGACCGCCTCGTTAGTGATGCTAAGTGGCTTGTTTGATGCAGGATTATCACAGCTTCCTGGTGTTTGAATACGTGCAGCCGCAATCTGCGCCTCGATTTACACTTGCATCCAATTTTGTGTAATTTCCAACAATTCAGCTAAGGCACAGAGACAACTAAATACAGGAAGGGGGGGGGGGTTTGAAAATACCCCACCAATTTCTGAGCCTTTTGATTTCATCTTAACAGCTGGTTGAATACTTAGAATACAGTGGCTTTGTGTTCTACAGAGGAACAGGGTAGAGAGATGACAGCATGGAAGGAGAGTCACGGATCTGTGGCACGGCACACTACGTCCAGGAGAGATCTGGGCTTGCGCCGCCACAAAGCAAAACATTTAAAGAATGGTTTTGTAAATGCGATGACGCGGAGTTCGATTAAAAGTGTAAAAAAAAACAGATCGGCACCTGTGGGAGCTGAGGCGAGCATGTTGTGTGCATAGGTTGCCATGCTTAACAGCCCTCACCCGCGAACTAGCAGCTTCTTTACAATCGTATAATTTCTCCCAAATGTTTTAATTGGAGTATCTATAAATGGATCTCCCTGCGTGATGGAGCAATTAAGGAGGCAATTTAGCATTCAGATTTCGCAGCTGCTCGTAATCCAGGTGCGGTGCTCAGGTTGGGCCACGTGTCGAGCGCTCCCGCTCTTTCAAATTTTCGCCACGCACTTCCTGTGAACATCTCGAGGATTTGAAAGTGTTCAAGATGCAGGCAGCAGCAGCAGCGTGGAAACATCTGAAGAGAGAGAAATGCTAACCGCGTGGCCTAACCCCCGAAGGCCAAACACTTAGGTTTGGAGGCACGTTACACTGCTCACCTCCAGGGCAGCAGAGGAAGAATGTTTTTGATCTACTTGTGCAGCGTTAGTGCACTATTCCCCTTGCTTGCGTGTGTTGCATCCCAATATTCTGGTTCCCTATATATATACTAAACATGAGGAAAAGGTCAAATATCTTTAGCATGGCCCTTTGGATAGGAACTCTTTGAGACGGTCCGGAGTAAATCGAGAATGGCAGAGCGTCTTGGAGTTTTGCACGGGGCATAAACTTGGATTCTGAGATGGGGAGCCATAAGAAGGCGAGCATGTCTTGAGATGTGGGTATGGCGAAGAAATGAAACAATAAAATGGCATCGAGATAAAGGGAAGTGGTGAAGTTCTGTAGCAGGTTCAGGGGGAGAGAAGCCTTGTTAGAAAATTTAATAGAAGAAAAAAATACATGGATTGGGCCACATACTCCCGAGGTGCCAGCTCTGTGAAGAAATCTGCAAGGAAGGATTGTTAGATGAAGGCCAAGAGGCAAGTAAAGCACAATTTGGCTTGATTACTTGAAAAGGGCTCATTGCAGTTTAATGAAGTAGAGAAATGTTGGACAGGATGACGTGAATCTGAGCCAAAGACCTGCCATTGGTGAGAGGGCTAAATGAGAGAAAATACACAAAGTAAACATGAATGGTATAACAGATTGCTGCCACTTGTGAAGGCTTTCGCGACCAATATTATACATAACAAAGGAAGACTTCTTCACAATTCTGCCTAATCGCCTGATGAGGCTGGCTGTAATCACCAGCGAATTGTAAATGTTGTGGGATTTCTCTCCAACGCATCGGTGTGCTGTACTGGTAACGAATTACCTCGTTCTGTTTACGTGACAAACCTTACTAATTGGCTGAGTCGGGTGGTGGCGGGTTTAACGACGCGTTTATACTCACGCGGTCTAACCCAAAAAAAAATACCATCTTCATTACGGAGGGAATTTGCGTTCGTAAACGTCAGTGAGTTTCACCTCCAGGGCTGCTTCTGCCTCTTCCAGGGAGAGCTGCAATTCTTCCTTCTCCAGTTCCAACTTCTTCTTCACCTTCTGCAGCTCGTGAGCGCTTTTTCCTCCCTCTCCCAGCTGCTCTGTCAGATCGGTGACCTCCTCTGAACGCGTACCGAGAGAAAACAACAACAAACAACAACAGTAATGCAGAATTCTAATTTCATGTACAAAAAGGCCTTGTTCGACTCAATTTCAAATGTGTTGACAACAATGTGTCGAATGCATTCCAAATTAAAAGATCCGTAATCGATGTTTTTGTTTGGGTTAGATCGCGTAAATATAAATGTGTCGTTAAACCCGCCACCACCCGACACGGCCAATTAGTAGGGTTTGTCACGTGAACAAAACGTTTAAATTCGTTACCAGTTCAGCACCCCGGTGTGTTGGAGAGTAATCCCACAACATTTACAATTTGAGTACCGTGACGTTACGCTAGTAATTACAACGAGCTTCATCAGGCGACAGCTAGAGCTGTGGAGAAATCCTCCTCCTGTTTCGGTCTTAAATACACGGGGGGGGGGGGGGGGGTTGAATGTGATGTCATCACTGTGAGCTAATCAGGTGCGAAGACCGGAATGGAGGGGGGGGGGGGGGGTTAATGTATTCATCTAAATTACAATGGACGTATTGATTTTTGTTGTTCACAGTTAATTAACATACATGATATATTTACATCACGCATGCACTTCATGCGTGGACATTACGTATGTACATTGTGGTTGTATTTGCCGGCGAAACGTCGTACTCCAATTGTAAAAGCTGTGGGTTTAATCTCCTACACGCAACCGGTGTGCTGAACTAGTAACGAATTGGCCACGTTCTGTTTACGTGACAAACCTTCCTAATTGGCTGTGTCGGGTGGTGGTGGTGGCGGGTTTAACGGCACATTTATATTTACGCGATCTAACCGACAAAAAAAAGAATCCCTACTGCATGTTAACATCTCGGGATCGTTACAAAGGTTTTACAATTTGACCTTGAAGGGTCTTGTTCTCTCTCTTGAAGGCCTCCAGCTGTTCGACCGCCTCCTCGTAGCAGGTCCTCAGCTTGAATATCTCGTTGCTGTAGTTCCTGCACTCCTTCTGCGACGAGTCCAGCTCCGACTGGACCTCCTCGTACTTCTGACGCCAGTCCGACAGCTGCTTGTCAAACGAACGCTGTTTCTTGTCCAAGGAAGCTGCAGAGCTATTGGCCTTGACGAATGCAAAAAAAAAGTTTGACATACGAACAACTGCACGCATGACACCAATACAAAATCAAGACCCTGTGCCGATCGCTCGCAAATGAAATTCCAACTGACTTAATGCCACTCCCTTTCATTTATGCGATGAAGTCCGGAACGGATTCCATCCTGGGCGATGTAAGCAAAGATCATGAGGTCATCGTGGCCAAAGCCATTGATGGACACCACGCCTCGATAATAATGCCTTCGACCCATCCGCCAGATCCCGTAGCTGTCGCACGGTAGACACGTGACGCGACGCACACAAACGTGGCAGAAAATAGGCGGAGCGGAAGAAGTGAAAAATGGTGGATATATGCAGCGGAAAACAAGATCAAGAATACAAAAAAGTATTGATCAAAGCAGAAGTTCTGGATAAAGAAAGAGAACCATGGCTGGAATTTCTTCAGCGTCATTCTCGTTAATAATGACCCGACGAAACGGGGCAACGTTGAAAATTGCAAAGTGTGGTTTTATCACCTCCGATTATGTACGGTGCAAAATAAGTTCAACGAACGTAGCAACACATGTCCGATCGCAAAAATGTGGAGGGACCCAGACCTTCTCAAGGTCGAGGGTAAGGTCTTCGAGCTCTCCCTGGAGTTTCTGCTTGGCCTTGTCCAGGCTTGCACACCTCGCTTGGGCGGCTTCCACAGCCTCCTCGGACTCCTGCAGCCGAGCGGCAAGCTTCTTCCTGTTGCCCACATCATGCACCGTGCCAAATTGTACATCGTGTCGAAATCCTCTGTCAATTTGCCAGCCCATTGCTGGATCTCCAACAAGAGCACCATGCAGCAGGCGATATGTTTAAAGACACGAAGCATGTATGTACTCCTCCAGTACTGGATTCATTAATTAAACAAAATGCATACACCCTCTGAGGGAATTTCAACTATTTGGCTTTGATAACCTGCCTGATTTTGTATAGACATTAAAATGGAGGCACTACTGATGTGCCTATTTTAAGAAGTGATTATGTGCTGGTATATGGCATAAACATTTAATTCACATGGCATTTCCTAAAGTGCACGTCTACGTAAAGTGTCCGCAACATTTTTGTAGGTAATCGCTTTTAACATAATACATTTTGAAACGTTTGTCTACGCCATATGCACTCTATTACAACCCGGTATCCTCCACAGTTAAGTCAGACTCAAGCGCGAATGCGCCTTTTAACGGAGCCGTGCGTGGTGGGGGGAGGGGGGAAGAGAGATTTTTATATTTTTAACTCACTTGGTTTCCTCGAGCTCCTCCAGACGGCCGAGCGCATCCGACTCGTACTTGCTGCGCCACTGAGTGAGCTCCCCGTTGAGGCGCGAGATGACGCGGTGGAGCTCGGCTTTGCTCTCCTGTTCCTCCTCCAGCTGCTCGCGGAGGAGGTCGCAGTCGTGCTTGGCGTTGGACATGCCCAGAGACACCATGCCCTTCGCCTGCGTCGCACCCGGAGGTTCAACAGTGAGGATGTAACACGCGGTTGGCTTTTTCGCAGGCAATTATTAGGATTCATTATTGTCTGTATGAGGCCACAGAATGATCCGACTGATCTGTGTCATTTAAGAAGCCTCCCACCAACACGACACAGCCCAAACACATGAACTGCGACACGGTGGGAGCATTTTACGCCCCAAGTTATTATTGTTTTAGCTCACCGGTAAGTTGAAAAACAATCCTCAGAAGCAAATTTAGGAATAAGATATATGGCATTTCGGTTGATATTACATCAAAATCATTAAGCTCCAGAAAGTCACAACAACAATCCAGTGAATCGGAATCAGTGTGTCACCTGACCTGGTTTTCTTAAATATGTCGCATGGCCTAATTGGTACATTTGTTTGTGTGGATTGTTGTTCAACTTAATGGTGAGTTGGAACATTCATAATTGGCCTTTTTCAACGCTTGTACACCACGCAGAAATTAATTTGTGTGACTGTGTTGGGCGGTGGAGTGTTCCTTAATGCAGTGAATTTTGTCAGATTCTTACGTGACCTAACCTCAAAAAAATCTATTATGAATCGCGACTTAAGCGTGTTTGTAATTGAGGTTGGGTGGGTGTGGCTCAGAGGTCAGCTTCGCTGCCACCCCTGAGATCCTGGGCTTGAATCTCAAGCACATAGCCGAGTTGGCGGTTTCAGCTCGGTCACCGATAAGAGCACGCAAGATGATCACGTAAAATTTGGTTCCGCACTTTATTTGGCCGAATTCCAGCTCTGGGGATGAATATGTAGGTTTCACTATCATGCAACAAACACGATTCTCATATGCAGACTATGTAGGAAAATGCTGTCTTCTGATGTGTGAACCAGAGGTTATTTGAAGAGGTTGCCCTGTGATATCTGCTCTATGAAAGATCTCAATGGATATTTAATTTTATTACTTGAAGCCGATAGCATAAGTGGGATAAAATTGTGGAAATCATTAAAAAAACGTGTAATCATGTTCAGTTAAAAAATGTTGTGTCGGACAACCATCACTCGATGTTCTGGACATCTTTGTTGGCTTGTTCATGAATGTATGCTTCACTAATACATTTCTTTGACCTGCACTTCATGTGCAAGCCTCCATTGTTGGATGAGAGCATGGTAGGAAGAAAACACGCCAAAAAAAAACCTTTCGTCCATTACGAGCACACTACGTTCACTTAATTTCTGAAAGAAAAAAAAACTACATTTGTACAATACCGTAACACCATAACTCTGGCCCCGAAACCTCGAGCCAAAATCGGTCTAATAAAATGGCATCCTGCAACATAATATCATTCTCATCTCGTTCATTTCCATAACCTTTGATTACATTTTCGTTTTGTTACTCGACGGCGCACGCCTTGTCCTTGTGCGATGCCTCTAAAAAGATGCCGTCGTGTATATATATATCCGGCATCATGCAAAATTAAAAATCCTATCCTGGAGACGTCCGCAGAGACACGCATTACTTTAATAGGGAGCAATCACCTTAGTTTCTTCATCCAGCGACCTTTTGGTCTCCTCCAGCTGCGAGGACAGCGAGAGCTTGGTGCGGCTCAGCTGAGCGATCTTGTTCTCCCCCTCCTCCAGCCGCCGCAGGTTGTCGCTGTTTTCGGCTGCAGAGAGCGGCGGTGGCAAGTAACGGCGCCGGTGTTGTTACTGCCCCCGCAAAGCGTCGCACCCTCCCCTCCCGGGTAATACGCGCGGTCAAGTGGGTAATCCCGCTCGCGCGCGCACCACGTAATTGCCCGTCAGAAGGCAGCCGGCCCCACCTGCGAGCTTCACTTTGAAGTTGTTGACCTCGTTGAGGGTTTTCTGCAGGTCCTCGCAGTGCGAGCTGGATTCGCTCAGGTGATCTTCCAGCTTGCGGATGTGCATCTCGGCCGACACCTGCGGTGCACGTTCACACATGCAAGATGCGAGTGACCTTAGTAGACTAAAAAGCGATTTTACTATTTTTTTTAAATTTTACTGGGTAAGGCTCACTGAGCTACAGTGAGGGAAAAAAGTATTTGATCCCCTGCTGATTTTGTACGTTTGCCCACTGACAAAGAAATGATCAGTCTATAATTTTAATGGTATGTTTATTTGAACAGTGAGAGACAGAATAACAATAAAAACATCCAGAAAAACGCATGTCAAAGATGTTATAAATTGATTTGCATTTTAATGAGGGAAATAAGTATTTGAATTATAGACTGATTATTTATTTGTCAGTGAGCAAACGTACAAAATCAGCAGGGGATCAATTACTTTTTTCCCTCACTGTATGTAGCTCGTTTTCAGAAGCGACCTGGCCACAAATGATAGCTCACTGAAGTGGCGTATCACGTAGAAATGTACAGCAGCCAAATACTCTGAACGCACGCTGATTCTACATGTGCAGGGAAAAACCGGAGGACCCGGAGAAAAATCCACACGATCATGGGGAGAACATGCAAACTCCAAATATACAGGCATGGTCAGAGTCGAGATCGAACCCACGATCTCCTGTATACCAGGCGAGGTAGCTAACATCTCGCTACCGTGGCACACATATGTAATCAATTAATTACAATTGATTACGGTACATATCACCACCGGGTGATGGTGGGTTTAACGACATTTATATTTAGGTGATCTAACCCAAAAACTTATATTATGGAGGAATGGCTAATTTAAAGTTAAAACAATCAAAACTAGTTTAATTTAAGCACACAACGGGTAGTGATACACACTTCGTGCTGCGATGGCTTCAATGACCAAGTTACCTGCAGGACTTCACTTCGACCATCATGAAGCGGTCTATTGCTTTGGGCTGCCACGTAATCGGAGGCCCTCAGGCTGCCACCCCTAAAGCCCCCTGCACTGATCTGGCCCTGCGTACACGTGCGTTGCGTATGCTCATGTACCAAATTTGTGGAAAAATAGTGCGCCTTTTGGCGTCATCTGGTCGAGCACCATATGAGACTAGGCTCTAAAGAAAGCTGTCTCTGGTGTGGACCAATCAGTTTCAAGGACAATGCATAAATTATCAGAGGATTGTTTTTTTTTTGCATTTGACTGCAAGCATTGTGGTTAATGTAAGCATGATTCCTTGCAAAAGGTGTCAGTTTTGTTGCCAAAAAAAGGGGAAAAACCCTATTAGTATATTTTGGTACTGGCAAAGGAGGTCCCATGATGATGCGCCCAATGTTATGCCGTAAGACCCTCCACCACCCGACAGAGCCCGAACAGATTAAATAGTGTCGTGTGCAAGCGTTCAACGTGCCGATTGGTATTGCTTCAGGGAGATGAACAGTTCTCACAAACAAATTTAGAAATCGGCTATGAACTTAACTCGAAACTACTGGCAGTAACATCAAACATAAAATCCAGGGAAGTCAAAACGATGAATACCCCTGTGGCTAACACGCACACACACACGCGTGCGTGCGTGTGTGTGCGTGCACGCGCTGTGGTGGCTTTACCTTGTACTTCTGAGATGCCTCGAGGCTGGAGGCGAGGTCATCGATCTCCACCTTCATGACCTGCTTGTCCTTCTCCAGCTTGAGCTTCACGCGCTGCAGGCTGTCCAGCTGCTCCGTCATTTCCACCGTGGACTCGGCCTGCCTCTTGCGCAGGGCAGCCATGGTGGCCTCCATCTGCAGGGAGGACTCCTCCATCTCCCGGCGCAGCTTGAGAACCTCCGACTCTCGCTTCTTGTTCTGCTCGATCTGTGCCCACCAAGGGGGGGGGGGGGTGGGGGGGAGGGCAATATCAACAAACTGTGGAGTACAGGTGCAGGAGCCACGGTGGAATTGAGGAGGGGAGGGGGGTGCTAGCGGGCTACTGTGTCGTCGTCCCCCCACCACCCCCCCGTGTTCATCACTTGGTACCGTGGGGGGTGGGGGTCAGGAACGACTTTAGCCACCCACCTAAAAACCCCATGGACAGCTGGAAAGCCAATTTACTTAATTTTGACAGTAACATTTTATTAGTTAATTATTAGATTTTTTTTTACATGAATATATATCAAAATAAGTAGAAAATAGAATCGTCGAGTGGAGAAATGCTGTTGCTCAGGGGAATTTGAGCTATCGCGCATTGAATTCAGTCATCACGTCACAAAAACGACGTACGTCACCGTGTCCTGTCCTCCCAGCTACAGCAGCTCCACACGGCGCAGGGAGAACTAATTTTTACATTTCACTTTCGTGGCTATTTGGGTAACCTTTGCAGGTGATGGCGAAAGCGGAGTTCTCTGTGGGAAGAAAAATCCCAAACGCACAGGGAGATAACACCGAAACGATTGTACACGTCGGTTAGCAACCTAATCGCGGAGCCATTACATGTAGCCTAACCACTGATGGAATCAGGGTAAACTGATTTATTCTAGCAGACTGCATATGCCCACTGTTGGAAGCATTCAGTTATTCGCGTTGATACTCGCATGCCAGTTTCCACGCTTGTGCCGTGTTGCTCTCCGATGTGTTTTTGGGTTGTACGACGTCTTCACTGAATTCAGTGCCAGAAGAAGCCCCCAGCCCCGTGGACCGAAACGTCGGACGTCGTCCGAACAACCCGCAGGTACAACGCAAAGACGATGTCGTTTAGAAATATACATCGTTGCGTTGTAATACATTTCACCGTGAGTCATTCAATTGTATGTGAGCAAAATTATATTGAATAACTATTATTAGGATTACAACCTCAGTCTTAGGCCCTGGTATAGTGACAATGCATGACAGAGCGATGTGGCTTTACATTTCCACGCTTGAATAAGCACTGAGGGCACCGCTAATCTCCATCAAAGGCATCCGAACCAGCGGTGGGAGTGTCACGCTGTTGTCAAAGTGTAAGGCTTGCCATAGTACGACTATTGTCCCTACAATTTGGTGCTGAGTTTATCGACCCCCCCCCTGACCGACTGATGGGCTGGGTTCACCTCCACCCCCCACCCCCACTCACCTGGGCTGCTGTGGCCCCCCCCGCTTCGTCGAGGCGTTCCGTGAGCTCCTCCAGCTCCCTGGCGAGGTCATTCCTCTGCTTCTCAACCTGACGGGAAACCATATTTTTGTTGATTTTTTAAAAAACGACACCAGTCAGCGACATGTGGAAACGCTGTGCAAGGCGTGCGCACGCCCTAATCTGATGCCGCTGAAGACGGTGTGACACTGGTGCCCCCCCCCCCCCCACACCGCTGTCCGGAGAAGATAGATCGTACCTGCCTGCACGCGCACACAGATTCTTCCCTGTTCCCTGTGCGTGCGTGCGGCGGAATTTTTGACGTACTAACATGTGCACTGTGCTCACGTACTGATAAGCAGCGATCCTCGCGGTGCTTACGAGTGACATCCCGAAACCATTTCCTGCGCAGCCCCCTTCACCGAGCACAGAATAATCATTCGCGTCGTCGTGGAGAATATCAGTAGCAGAAGAAACACGCGGACAATGTGCCTCCTTCATATATCTGCGTCCTTCAACAACAGACCATTAAAGTTTTTTTTTGCACTTCCTGGCAACCGCGAGCACCTCCCCACGTCGGTGCCTGAGTCTACTGATGAGACGCTGGGTGTCAAAACCTGACCAGGGTCGCTCACACTGAGCACCGCGGCGAGGTGTGGTCCAACAACACCGATGACTTGGCACGGCGTGAGAAGGCCTTCATGCAGCAGTAGACTGAACAAGGGTTTTATATTATACAAAGTAGAAACGTGGTAAAGGTGCAGCCCTGCAAAGTCTTGTTCACGCCACTGCTGAAGGAAGGGCCTCCACGAGAAGGAGCTTAAGATAGAGCCCCTCTGCCGAGTATTTGGCCTACTCTTCAATGCTGGCCACACATCTTGACAGCGGTGGGAGCACACCCACACAATACCACACCGCACATAACCTGCCAGTCGGCTAAATGTGCTGGGGTCCCTATTTATGCTGCTGCTGCGTGGACAGAGAGGTCAGAAAGCAAAACTTTTTTTTAACGAGAACATTTATCTACTTTCACATGCAGTATTTTTTAAAAATAAAAGCATTCAAAGTCAGGTCGATGGCACACTGTGCAGGGCTTGAAAATGTCCAGGGCAAAATGCATAATGCACATCATAAAGCGCGCATGCCAGAGTGCTGGATGGACAGCGGGGGTTGCAGGATTTCTCCGCTAATTAAACGTAGATGAAAGTGAGTAACCAGGGTAGGCAGATGAAACGCGCAGTGTTTAATCTCACCTCTCTACTGCACTCTGTCTCAATATTTAGACTCGAGGGCTCGTGCTTGCACACTGCAGCTCAGTGGCATACTGTGCACGGCAGTGCAGTGGCTTTAAGTCTGCACGTTACCACTATGAACGTCCCTTCTGAATACGTTTAAGTGCAGTGTATTCGTTGGTTTGCATATTGTTGGGATTATTTATGCAGAAATGAAAACCCAACAAAATTGCAAAAAAATGTTTAGAATAATGTTGCAATTGAAGTAGCATCGTAATTAGTGTCCTGTCGAGATTACACATTCTACACTTCCACTCGTATGCTTCGTCGGTAAGCAATGAGGATGTTTTGATAGTCGTATTTACATATGCTTTGCATTATCTGCATATTTGTTTATCTTTGTTTATCGCGTTCTCTGTGTTTGTTATTGTTTGTATGTTGCTGCCTCTGCCCCATGACCCGCGACCTTCACCGCCTGCGTGGACCGCACAGACACGGATTCAGCGCAGCCTCCCCGCGTGCCACGCCACCCTGCAGGTCACCACACTCCCCTCTCTGCCTCTTCCCTCGCACTCATACACTTTGGAATTCCCTCCCGTCGTTTCTACTCCATAAGCTCTCGTAACAGCCTTGCTTAATATACAAACATAAAATAAAAAATAACACAACACACGTACGTATTTTTTTTTTATCTATTACAACTTTGAGAGTGCTGCCTGTTGTTGCCCTTTGGAGATGTTGGGGCCCATTTGTCCTTTGCTCAGCGACTTAAAAAAATAGAAGAGTTGACTGCACAACTTTCTAGTGCGTGAACATTGTGGTCCTACGAAGCACACGCGATGCGATCGATCCGTCTGGCATGTAGCGATTCATTAAGATTCGTTAAGATTTTTTTTATTTTACCCTCGTGATACACGCTTGTCAAAACGTATTATTTGGACTATTTGCAAATTATATGTAAATTTTTGCTTGAGACTATTAGAATTTGATCGTAGAATAACACGCGAATTGTTTTTATCATAATGCCTAATCGTGATAAAAGGCGGAATTGTGGAGGAGGATGGGTAACAAATGAATCTGCCCAGCAATTAAAATAGTGACGGTCCAGGGTCCCGATTAAAGTCAACAAACATTGTGCGTGAGTGGCTGCACGGGCCAGGTGAAGTTCATTGCCATACGACGGACACAAACCATCGACGGAGTTGATTCTCACGACAAACGAAGGGTTTCCGCACGTGTCACGGCTTTAACGATTGCCATTAATCGACGAGCTGATGCGCCGTTTCGCCACGAGCGTGCACACACAGGTGACGTGCCCGAGCCTCCCTTCTAAGATTCAAGGTGCGAGGAAAGGCGGCCCCTCACCTTCGCTCTGATGGCCCGCTCAGCCTCCAACTCCTCCTCCAGCTCCTCCACCCGGGTCTGGGAAGAAGGAGAGAGATGCACGGAAAAGAGTCTGGAACGATATCCCTCTGCACATTCGCAGCATCACCTCAATCGCCTCCTTCAAGAGACACTTAAAAACTCACCTCTACAACCACGTGCTTTCGAGCGACCCTGAGCTTGGCTCCATGCCTCTGAGTTGCGGCCACTACGTCCGCAAATTTGCGCGCGTTACAAATTGAACTATTATTATTATTCACAAAGACATTCATGGACTCACCACTCCGTCTGGCAAAACGAGAGAACGCCACGTGTGCGTTATATTTACGAATGTCGTATTTAGATGAAAGCGAAGTCAATTTGCCTCTTCTATTCAGACCAGTTTGAGTCAGCGATTATCTCCGTTGGTGGCCTGCAGCCAGTGGTAGGGTCAACTCGGCCCATAGTTTTCTCGGGGTCAATAAACCACGAAGCAATTTGTGGGAATAATAGTTGTCCCACGATTGGCTTGCCTTTCTTATAGCAATGCCAAATTTACACCGCTGATTCAGGGCCTTTAATGGAGATGAGGCAGTGCCTGATAGTTAATTGAGCATGCCCATTTTGCACAGATGTTTACCATGTAAACCCAACTCACTCCCTGTGACAGCAGGTGGTGCCTCGAGAGGAACACCACTGTTGACTTCCCGTGAAGTGATACTCATGCATTTACACCGGACTCCAAATAGGCAATGGTAATTAAATACGTACAATTATCGTGGAGCAGTGGCATAGCGGTTCGCGCACTGCGCTAGGAACCTGACGACCCGAGTTTGATCCCCAGCCATGGTTAACGGCGAGTGAGGTTTGAAACCGTTCCGGGCTCTTCCTTCACCAACCCGTACCGACCAATGTTGCGAAGAACATGAAACATTAATAATTGGTGGCATTATAGAGAATATAATTAACAGCATAGCTAAGCTGACAATATGTCCCCGTCATATATATGCCATTCCATTATACAACGTAAGAATGCACGTGTTATATTTCAATGTTGTAGAATGGCAACATCCAACATAAAATACATGTGTTATCCTGTACATAAAGTACACCTTTACATCTCCAACTGCAAGATACGCTGGTGTTGAAGGCAGACTAAGGAAGTCTTATTTTTTGACAGCGGGAAGACTCGTAGCCTTCAGATTTTCAATGCCACGCAGTCAGCCCTCATGGCTTCACCTGCTGTCGTTTTTTCACAGTGCAGAAAGCGTACATGCCTTTAAAAAATTGTCGTAAAATCCTCTTTTCTAATCGAACAACTTTGAAAAAACCCCAGCCAGCGGGAGTCCGGCAGTGTTTAGTGGCACAGGGGGAGATTAGAAGTGACTGCCTGGCGGGTAAGCTGTAAATCCCACATGAAGCAGCTTGTTTTCATTATCAGCATTCCACGGCACTCCGCTTTCCAACAGGGAGTCGTCAGAGTCTCGTCTGCCGGGGAGAGACAGGAGCCCCTTTCTCGAGCCTTTTCGCCGATTATTCGAGCAGCGAACACTCCGGCTTGTTCATGGACGCGGTCGCCAGCCCTCGCTCAAACGGCTCGTCCGAAAATGGGTGTTGGCAAGCAACGCCGGGCTCAGCGATCACACGCACGCGTCTGCTGAGCGCTCGCACTCTCTGCGCTGCCAGGTACGCCGAGTCCAACGGTTGAGCCTCGCGCGCCTCCCAATTATTGTCACAACCCGTGTCGGTCAAAGTTCTAGCCCCGAATTAAAACCCCCTCGTCATGGAACGTCAGCGTGTTGAACGATCTCAAGTCTTGTTTTTGTTTTTGAAACAATGGAACCACCTACGCGCCTTCACAGGATGCCAGCGGTAATAGCGGCGTCCGTGCTTGCCAGAGATTATTTTGTAAGAGCGTGACAGCTAAAATTGGTGAACTTTAACACGGGCTGGGTTTGAGGATGTTAAATAGCACCCCCCAACACCCCCCCAACACACCCATCATCGAGCAGCACAGCTAAAAAGCATGACTCGATAATAATAATAATAACGTGGCTATACAGTGTGTCTAGCCTGTAGCGCAAGGAGTCGGGGTACAAAATAAGACAATTTTCTAAGTGTATTTCCACTCCCCCACCCCCTGAGTGCTGTCTAAGGAGCCAGAAAAAAAAAAACTCTAACCAAGAAATGCCATCAGGATATTTTTTCTCAGTCTCTCGCATGCCCTGCAAGCATCCAGTGAAGTGGAGAACTAAGCGAAGGGTGTGACGGGTGATGGTGCTCAGAGAATTTCTCTCGCGCGCTTTAAGTGCTCGGTATTATCACCTATAATAGAGTGTTATTTTTTTTTCTCTCGTAACGCACGATACGCAATAAGCGTTTCAACACAGAACCTGCTCCCCCGCGGCCAGCGCTTCGTGAAACGCGATTCATCACAACCCTAATTGGGATTTGTTCCGGGAGTGAACGAAGATTTCACGCCGACGCTCTATGCACCACGCCATCTGGAAGAGGAGGTAACCGCACCGCTCGCACAGAGATACGGACACGGCCACTTCACGGCTAAAGAAACCGAGAGGCGTGAAATAAAGGAAGCGCGGCCATCCCCGCACCTGCGATACCCCGCACCTGCGATTAGCCACGGCTGGATACGTACGCTGTGAAATAAGTTCGGCATACACGTACATACATTCCTGGATGCTGCACCCAATCACTTTCCAATGGGCCGTTCGAAACGAATCAATTCGAAGTCTCACGTCTTGTATTGTCAGGCAGGGTTTCACAATGTAGGCCCTTGAAATCACAAGGGCGGCGTTTTACAAGCTTAAAGCCTTGCACGCGCACACCCCAAAGGCAAGTTTCGTGAAATTTTCAGTTTGCGCAAAAATCGCCACGCGTCACACAGTGTTGTGAACTAATGGGATTCAAATGAAGGTCACTTTAACGGCCGCGAGAGTGCTACTCAGATGTTTACATTGACCGCAACCGTTAGCAGCGCTGCAAAAGCACGTGTCCCCTGAGCTCGTTGTGCTCGGATTGAGGAATGCCACCAAGGATGCATCGTTTTCTCAGCTGGAGAATATTTGAGTCTCGCGGATCGAATTCGGGACCGTGTTGCAGATAATTGTGTATTACCATCCAATAAACACGAGGGGGGGGGGTGCACGAGGAGGCACGATGCAGTGTTGGGTAGTTCCCCCTGGGAAGTTTATGGAACCAACCTGCTGACGGGACGCATGCACACGCGCATGGCGGGGGCCACCCACCCCACCCAGCCACCACACCACCCCACCACACCCAGCCACCACACCACCACACCACCCCACCCAGCCACCACACCACCACCACACCCAGCCCACCACACCCAGCCACCACACCACCACCACCCCACCCAGCCACCACACCACCACACCACACCCAGCCACCACACCACCCCACCACACCCAGCCACCACACCACCCCACCACACCCAGCCCACCACACCCAGCCCACCACACCACCCCACCACCCCCAGCCACCACACCACCCCACCACACCCAGCCCATAGTATCAGAGCAGGTTGCATATTCGCAGGCTTAATGCTGAGGATGTTTGCCGATAAGGTTTCGTGTTTTTATCTGAGTGAGCATAGTTATTAGCCTCGTCGATGATGACATTATGCGAAATTGTGGTCAAGTCTCAAACTGTGGATTTCATATAATCAGTCCAGTTGACTAAAGCAGTCGAAAAAAGCCCCCACCCCACATCCACCTCTATATTACCATGATTATTGTAATTACATAAATTACCGTTTACATTTCTGGAATTCCTAAGTGCGTTTTCCGCCTCTTAACATTGCTTATAATCTCCGTCTGGGTCCACTACTCTCAGACTCGTTAATTTCGTCTCGTCCGTAAGCCACGCGCCTCGCTCTCTGCTGGGCGGCATTGGCGGTCACCACTAAGCTTTGTGTTTTTCGTCCACTCACAGCCACCGTTTGACTAAATTAAAATATTTCTTCAACGAATAATTGAATCGCTAAAAGCCAGAAGGAGGCATATAAACATCACACTTTGAGGAATCTAAAATGGCCTTTGAAGCATCCAATGTTACAACTTTCAAGTCACATGCTGGTGGGTTAATATTTGCTACCTATTTGCAAGCATTTAATTAAATTAGCAAATAATCAATCACACATGTGCAGTGTGTATATATACACATGGAAATGTTTTAAAGTAAAATTCATTAAAATACCTAATTACATTTGTTTAAAAAAGAAAAAAACAGTACTCAGTGGTAAAACAGATCAATTGTGTCCAAACATTGTACAGTAAGAAATTCCATTAATTTCCTGACTGTTACGGTGTGATACGGCGAATTATTGCCACTAGACAGATTACCCGCATTGCATTAAATGCCAAGCACTGCTGCTATGCCAGCTTTGACCATCAACATCATTAGCCTTACGTGGCTTCCTTCATATATTAACTGGCTAGACTGTTTTAAAACGGAAGAGTTCCTCCTGAGGTCTGACGATTTCCCAGCTGTGCGACTCTATCTAATACCTGACCCATTCCTGTTCTGATACTATCAGCGGTAATTTCTATCCATCGGCATCCGGCAGAAGGGCAAGCAGTAATTCTGAGCATGACAAAAGAGGGGCCACATGCTGCACAGCCCTGCCCCAAAGCCACCCTCACACCGCTGAGTGAAGGGACAACAGGGGACGCTTTAAAATGAGGGCACTGAGGTCATGCCTTGGTCAAACAAGCTCGTCGCTACGGTTTGCCTGAGTCCTTCATTTCGTAAGGAAGGGTAGAAATCACCCCGGGAGCCGCCTTCCCATTAACTTTAGCCCCAGGATCTGGCTTGTCACTTATATATTGGCACATTAAACCATCACGCCTCGGACAGCTGGGATTTCGAACAAGGGACGTAATTTTATACAACGCATTAGCGCGCACACCGTACGCGTCGTTCCATGCGCCTCCAGATGCAGAGTTAATAACTGTGCACTCACTTAGCAGGAAACACGGTAAATAGGTGACCTTGTCATGAATTAACAATTCAATTCTATTTTAAGAAAACACATGTGAACATGCACACGCACACATATATATATAGTATATCCCCTGTGTAGCCTACAGAGACTTTTGGAGCAATTCAATAATTGTGCACGAGAGAGTCGGAGGACAGCACCACACCCGGCTGCCTTTGTCTCCTCAGTAGTGATGTTCACACACCGCACCAGGTACTCATTGGAGGCTGAGTCGACCGAGAGGAGGCCCACGACCAGTTCAGATAATCGTCAATTTGTGTTGGCCGTGAGCGGGAATTGAACTCGGGTCGCTGGGTTCCTAGCGCAGCGCGCTAACCGCTGTGCACGCACCCACACACACGCTCCCCTGCACGTGCATTGAAACGCATGCACACACACACACACACACCCCTGCACGTGCATTCACACGCACGCCCACACACACACACACCCCTGCACGTGCAATCACACACACACTTGCACGTGCATTCACACGCCCACACACACACGCGCCCCTGTGCGTGCATTCACACACACATACAGACACGCACCCCTGCACGTACATTCACACACACACACCCCTGCACGTGCAATCACACACACGCGCACACACACCCCTGCATGTGCATTCACACGCACACACACCTGCACGTGCAATCACACGCATGCACGCACACACACACATCCCCTGCACGTGCAATCACACACGCACTCACACACACACCCCTGCATGTGCATTCACACGTACACACACCTGCACGTGCATTCACACGCATGCACGCACATAGACACCTGCACGTGCAATCACACACACACGCACACACACACCCCTGCACGTGCATTAACGCACGCACACAAATGGTCGCTCACGTGCAAGCACACTCATTCACTTGCAGACAAACACGCACGCACGCACCTGCAGCTCCTTGAGCTTGCGTTGCAAGTTCATGGACATATTCTGCTCATCCTCAAGCCGGGCGTTCATGGCATTGATCTCGTAATCTCTCCTAACGAGAACAAGAGAAAACACGCACGGATCACACAGCGAGCTACACCAGCGCGGAATTTTGATGTTCATGCCACGCACCTGTCATGAGAAAAATTATATTCGTGACCTTTCGTGTGCTGACAGTGTTACATTACATATATATTAGTTTACACAGAAGTCAAACATTCTTTAGACTCAATATGTAAGAACAGCATGTAAGTGCAACAAATACATCCATTTGCAAGGACATATGCCATTTAAAAATATATGAAACGCTCAAAGTCTTTATGAGCACAATAGTTACCGTTAAAAAAAAAACATTGATGACCATTGAAAATAAAAGATAGACATCAAATGTTTTATCTGCCAATAATTACCGGCTCAGTAACGATAATGATTATATCACTGCAAAAAAAAACCATGTGGCCCTTTTATTTGTTTTACTTTCTACACTCCGCCATTCCATTGGACTTCTCTAATCACAGGAATGAAACCAGGAGTTCAGATGACACCGGAGATAAGAGATCCATCGACCAAACAACCCCTGTCACACAAACCGCTGTCAAAACATCCCCCTTCCGCCGCACCTGCACTCAGAGTGCGCGGTAACTGGGATCCACGGTCAAGACGGTTCAGCTCTGTTACTGAAAGGTGGCCTTCCACCGTCCTTTAGTGCAGCCGGAGAGAGAGAGAATTTTTGTTTGACTCGTACGATCTCTCCGGCTCATCATCAACACCAGACAGGATCGTGCCTAGCCACAGCGCGCCTCCTCGCATCGACCCAACAAACTGGTTGTTGCACCGCTGCTCAGGTGCGATAAGTCCCCTCTCTGGAATTATCGTGGACAAAGGTGCGCGTGTCTGGCGTGTCTGGCGGCGTCTCGCCAAGCGCCTATCAGCACAACCACACAATTACCCATCGGCAACGCGATTATCCCCACCCCCACCCCCCCAAAAAATCTATTAGATATGCCGGCACACGGCAGCAGATATAACTTGCCAACTGTATTGCCGTTTGTGTAAGGGTGGCCTGTGTCTATTGGGCAGCATTAGTCAATTAATCTGGCATCAACGCGTTATCCATGGAAGCAACCAAGCCGAGGAGAGTACATTGAGTACTGTCACATGTTTTGCATGTTTGCTTCACAAACTGCGTGGGGTTTTAACTTTAAAAATATATATTTTTCAACCCCATTATAAATAAGTTCGACAAAACAGAACATTTCTAGGAGAGAAAAAGGAATTGTGTATAATGCAGATTAGATGTCGAGATGTCTCGTAATGCATTTCCTCCTGCGTAAAAGGAACACGGTCGGTCGGCATGCAACACGTGGCAGGCTCGATTGTGTGTCCTCCCACCTCTTCCAAGATGCATGGCCAGTATAGAAGAGTAGGCCAAATACACCCTCTAGGGCGGGGGGGATGGCACTGTAGGATTTTCTATAGTGGAGGACCTTCCACCAGCAGTTGTGTGAGCAAGACATTTTAGGGCAGCACCTTTACCTTTGCTCTTTGAAAAGACATCGGCCAGAGGGGAGCTAAGCCTCCGCATTCCTATGGGAGCCTTTTTTTCTGCACGGGAATTCTGGAGCAAATTTAATTCTGCAGGAATGTGGCTGGTCGACCCGACGTCTCCACAGCATCTCCAAGCGCACACGGACACTCCCTGCGCAAGACAATCCTCACTCACGTCTATCGTACCTTTTGGTGTTTTTTTTAATGTCAAAATATTTCTTCTCGTTGCGTTATCAGAGTTGTGTCGAATGCGATTAAGTGCCCATTCGTAAATCGTCGCCGGGGCCGAGAACAGCCTGCAGATGCAGATATCGCATAACTATTTCCGAGACCTTTTATCCACGCACGAGCGGTCTCGCGGCCCGACACACTTGGCCAGGGAGAAATGTTAATTGGATGGCAGCCAAGTTAATATTGTATATTTTTCAAAATCTCAGCGGTGGCATTTAGCCAAACGAAGTGACAAACCGAACTTCACGCCGATGGGATTTTTGCAATGCACTTCGTAGCTTGGCTGACACCATTCACTCGCAAAACACTTGAGAACCCGGTTTAAACCTCAGTTTAAACCCCAGTTTAAATCCCAGTTTAAACCCCAGTTGGCTACAACTCAGGATATCGATGGTGCCGGGCTCAGCACTCGGCACCCTGCGCCAGGCGGTCTCCTCGCTACTCACTTCTTGATGACTTCCTCCATCTCCAGCTTGTGCCGCTCCATCTCGTTCAGAGAGTCCACGGTAGACCTGAGGTCCGACTCCAACTTACGTTTGGCTTTCTCGAACTCCACTCGAAGTTTCTTCTCCTGGTCAAGGAGATCTTCCAGCTACACACGATGCAGTGATTAGCACGGTTGGTTACGTGCGGTGCGAAAGACGCCCAACATACATACACGTCACGGTTTCCCGTAGCTCCCTTTTTAAATGTAGACTATGAAATAGCGATCATTGCGGATGGGTCCACGTAAATGAATGTGATAGAACTATTGTATGCGTGCAGCTTCGGCTGGATGACACGTTCGGGCAACATGAACGACTCAAAATCGCAAATACCTGACACAAATTTGAAACCGCAAAAACAAAAAAGGTCTCCAAATTGCAATGTTTTCTTTAATGGAAATTTACCCGTTGGTGCCTGACGCGACGTATATCTTCATGTATTGTTTAATCCGTCTCATGCTGAACATATGCGGTTGTTCAAAATAGCAGTGCGAGAACATGGCTTGTTAGGCACGACATGCTCCGTGCTTCGTTTTATAATAATAATAAAAATAAAAACTCCTCTCGCTATTAACACAGCGCAACATGGAATGAAAAGCCAGACCTTTGATCAAATACAAATTAAACTTTACCAAACTGTAAGCCACAAAAAGGCCTTGCCACAAGCAGGCACACCTGCAGAGTATACCCCCACATACCTTTCTCTGTCTATTGCCAAGTGAAACACAGTGCTGTGTACATAGTTGGAAACTCAATATGTCCCATTAAAGAAAGATCTTTGAATGGGGGGGAAATAAAGCGAGGTGAATTAATCCCTTCCACCGTTTGGGCACCACTATCACATTTATGCAGAGTGCGTTACACGAGCAGACACAATAAAACAAACACTGACTGCGCGCTTGACATGAATTATGTATATGTTGCCAATGTAGCTGTGGGAGAAAAAGTTAAAACTGCAAAGGCGAGAGCGAGCGAGCGAGAGTATAGCCGGAGTATTCTTCATTTTACGTGCAAAGCGAAACCGACGCAACTGAGCAATTGTTTCTTGGGCAGAGGCCAGGGGCAATTGCTTTTAACGTCTACCACATCAGCACTCGCTTTGCAAGGGCAGCTGGAGGCAAATTCAGTTCCAACATTATAAGCAGTCACGGAGACTGGCGACGCAGTGGTTATCGCACCGCATTCTGAACCCCGGTGCCCGAGATTCCAATCCGAAATGAACCCAGCTGCCCCGAGATTCCAATCCACTATGAGCCCAGCTGCCCGAGATTCCATTCCACTATGAGCCCAGCTGCCCTGAGCTTCCAATCCACTATGAACCCAGCTGCCCTCAGATTCCAATCCGAAATGAACCCAGCTGCCCCGAGATTCCAATCCACTATGAGCCCAGCTGCCCGATATTCCATTCCACTATGAGCCCAGCTGCCCTGAGCTTCCAATCCACTATGAACCCAGCTGCCCTCAGATTCCAATCCACTATGAACCCAGCTGCCCTCAGATTCCAATCCACTATGAGCCCAGCTGCCCCGAGATTCCAATCCACTATGAACCCAGCTGCCCTCAGATTCCAATCTACTATGAGCCCAGCTGCCCCGAGATTCCAATCCACTATGAACCCAGCTGCCCTCAGATTCCAATCCACTATGAGCCCAGCTGCCCTGAGATTCCAATCCACTATGAACCCAGCTGCCCTCAGATTCCAATCCACTATGAACCCAGCTGCCCCGAGATTCCAATCCACTATGAACCCAGCTGCCCTGAGATTCCAATCCACTATGAACCCAGCTGCCCTCAGATTCCAATCCACTATGAGCCCAGCTGCCCCGAGATTCCATTCCACTATGAGCCCAGCTGCCCTGAGCTTCCAATCCACTATGAACCCAGCTGCCCTCAGATTCCAATCCACTATGAGCCCAGCTGCCCTGAGATTCCAATCCACTATGAGCCCAGCTGCCTTGAGATTCCAATCCACTATGAACCCAGCTGCCCTCAGATTCCAATCCACTATGAACCCAGCTGCCCTCAGATTCCAATCCACTATGAGCCCAGCTGCCCCGAGATTCCATTCCACTATGAACCCAGCTGCCCTGAGATTCCAATCCACTATGAACCCAGCTGCCCTGAGATTCCAATCCACTATGAGCCCAGCTGCCCCGAGATTCCAATCCACTATGAACCCAGCTGCCCCGAGATTCCAATCCACTATGAACCCAGCTGCCCCGAGATTCCAATCCACTATGAACCCAGCTGCCCTCAGATTCCAATCCACTATGAGCCCAGCTGCCCCGAGATTCAAATCCACTATGAACCCAGCTGCCCTGAGATTCCAATCCACTATGAGTCCAGCTGCCCCGAGATTCCAATCCACTATGAACCCAGCTGCCCTCAGATTCCAATCCACTATGAACCCAGCTGCCCCAACATTTCAATCCACTATGAGCCCAGCTGCCCTGAGATTCCAATCCACTATGAACCCAGCTGCCCTCAGATTCCAATCCACTATTAACCCTGCTTCCCCATGATTCCAATCCACTACGAACCCAGCTTCTCTGAGATTCCCGTTCACAGAAAACGTCAGTGGCGAGTGATGCCTGGACTGGTCCTAGGCCCCCCGTTCACCGAACCACACTGACCTACGTGGCGAGGTTCTGTCAAGCAACCCCCCATGACCCACAGAGCGTGATCGAGGCCTTCATCCAGCTGTGGATTGATAAAGGGCTATAAACGATTATTATTATTACATCGTCCTGTATAGTATGCGGTGCAGCCCATACAGAAGTTCACTCAATAGCTGTACGATAGCCAGATTTCGCCACGTGTTCAGTGGTACTGTAAAAGATACATCGTTATATATGTTTCTAAATATATGTTTGTGAGAATTCACTGAATTGCACGGGCTATTCACGAGTTCTATCCTGAAGCGGAGCAATGCTGACAAAAATAACAGACCTCATGTCCCGAAACAACTGTCTCAATAACCCTCGAGAAGCACTCCATATATTTTACTCTGATTATAAAAAAATGCCCTGCCAATATGACTGTCACTATGGGAAGCTCATTTGCCAGTCAAAATATGATAATTGGTTTTTTACCCTTCTATCTGGCAACAAAACTGACACCTTTTTACAAGGACTCATGTTTGCAGAGACTAGGCTCAAGGAACGCTGTCTCGGGTGTGGACCAATCAACTTCAAGGACAGTGCACATTATCAGAGTTATGTCTTTTGTTTGTATTATGACTGCAGGTATTGCAGTCTATTCAAACATGACTCCTTGTAAAAAGGTGTCAGTTTTGTTGCCAGATAGAAGGGTAAAAAAACAATTATAATATGACTGTCATTACGCCTTTTTTAATGTTTCACAATAAGACGTTGTTAGTTATTCGGTTTTTCCAGCGATCAGTTCATCGTTCTTAGCGTGTTTCTATGCAACACAACATTTGAGGGATATTTTCTCACGCAACATACATCTATGGGATTTGTGCCACCATTTTTATTTGATTGAAGCGTGACTCATGGCCTTTTTGATGCAATGAGAACAGCGGGAACATATTACAAAGAGGAACGGCAGGTTGGAGACATCTACGCAGCAGGTGCAACATGGTCCATTTGACATGAGTGTCTGGAAGCAGTTATTAAAATTCAAGTTTCCCACTTTGAAAAATAATAACAGGTTCTACCCTTTCTGGCAATAAAACAGGTGTTAGAATGTCCAAACACCAAATAGATACCCCTTTGCAGCACAAGATGTAGTTTGACTTTAAAGTATAAATAGGCCAGTGTGCGGACAGGTAATCACACAAGCAGGCAAGTATATCATACATACATGACAATGTCTGAGATGACTAAAAGTACAGCATTACGTTTTGCGGATTGTAACTTACCTCGGCAATCTTATTCTGATTCTTGTTGTTGGATCGGTTTAATTTTGTTAACTTGTCCTGCTCAATCTGCAAGTCATCAAGTGTAGCCTGCGGGCGCAACAGTAACAAGGGCAGAAGGTGATGAACTGGACACCTGTGAAAAAGAGTTTTATAGCTCATCGGATTCCTCCAGGACAAATAAATATTCTGATTCTGATCATCAAACTGGAGCGTTTGCAACATTGGTATTGGGCAGACTGTAATCTGCATTTCATGTTAAAACGCACTCATTGTCAACATCATAATTCTGATTTAATATGAAGTGCAACCATTCCACTTTACAACTCACTGTCAAGATAATGTGGTCTCAGCTCAATTATACAGATAGACGTTGTTCGGTTATCTCTCAGCTGAATTAAATATTCAAAATCAAGACTTATTAACGCTTTCCAACCCAAGGCTGCAAGCGTCAATTTATCTATCTGTGTGCCCATTCGTTAATCTATAACAGGGCTTCACGATCACTGCTGTAAAGGTGCTCCTGAATACTTGAAATTTAATACAAAATTGGGTTGCTATATGGCACGTATCGTCCAGAAAAACTGGCCAAATTGATCAAACTGTTACCAATTGTTCAATTTGGCTGTTGTGTGGATCATCTGGTAACGTTATTGATAATTATATATTGTTGAGGCTAAATGCATGTTGGGAAACATTTATAAACCCTATTATTATGCGTGGTTTTTATTAGTTGTTTGTAATTACTGCAATAATGCATCTACATTTTTTACATTTAAACCAATGAATTACAAGTCAAATTCACGATTTTTTTAAAGTTGTGTTACCTCTGTCTGTACACTTAAATTATATCTGGCAGACGCAAATATACGAGAAGCGAAAGCACAGAATTCATTTGACATACTCCTGTCCAATTTGCCAAATGCATCTCAACTTATGCTTGCCTCAGTTTTAACACAAATCTCTCCACCAAAGAGACAAATGCTTTTTTCTAGATTTCCTACAAAAAAACATGAAAAATAAATCCTCGGTTGAAATTGTAACATGAAATGCCAATCCACTCTAATAATATTACGACGACAAACACTTCCAATATAGATTTTTTTTTTGGTTTAGATCACTTAAATATAAATGTGTCGTTAAACCCGCCACCAACCTGACACAGTCAATTATTAAGGTTTGTCACGCAGACAAAACGTGGCAATTAATTACTATTTAAAGCTTTCGTGACTGCAGGGATTCATCTTCTTGGTTCTTTCGGTAAAGTCACGTAGAAGGGAAATAATAAAATAATAAAAATAAAACATAATTAATTACTAGTTCAGCACATCGGTGTGTTGGAGAGTAAACCTACAACAGCTCCAATTTGAGCACGACGTTCTGCCGGTAATTATAACCGGCCTCATCAGGCGACAGCCAGAGTGTGCCGGGTGGTGGCGGGTTAACGACACATTTATATTTCGATTTAAAGCTTTCGTGACTGCAGGGATTCATCTTCTTGGTTCTTACGGTAAAGTCACGTAGAAGGGAAGTAATAACATAATAAAAATAAAACATAATAAAATAATTCTCACGACGTTTCAGCCACAACGCAAGCAGCCGTCCTCAGGTGAAGACCAGGTCTGTCGGGGAGACATTATTTCCCTTCTACGTGACTTTACCGAAAGAACCAAGAAGATGGGACACATTTATATTTACACGATCTAACGAAGAAAACCTCTATTATGGATAATATTGGTCACGAATGATTCTTCACCCTGGAAAGCCTCACTGAGTTTCCCGAAAGGTCCTGCCAACTTTTTTGCAGTGGAGGGTGATATTGCTGCTGCTGCTTTGTATAATCCAAATTGATACATTTGCATGTGATTTATCAGCATTGGGATGCTTGGCCAATAGCGGTTACATTGCATGGTATTGCTTTTACTGTGAGAGGAAACCAGAAATCCGTGCAGAACAAGGGGGGGGGGGGGGGAGGGGAGAGAGAACAGACAAATTCCACGGAGAAAGTCGGCCGAGTTGGGATCGAACCCGGACACTTCTTGCTATGAGCAGCAAGTGTGTCACCACTGTGCCACCCTGCCCGACGACTCGTGAGCTGATGCGATGTTTTGGGTGGATGGATAGCCGCACCTGATTGGCCTCCTCTAGCTGTTTCTTCTCCTTTTGGAGCTTCACAATCGCCTCGTCTTTCAGGTTCAGCTCCTCGGTCTGCGTGCGAACCTTGTTCTCCAGAGCCTATGGATCGGCGGCACCATCACCCGTGTCCAACACACAGACACCACACACAACTACTGCGCTTGTACAAGCTAGCCGCGGAAGGGACGGCTTAAATAAACACACGGTGGTTGTCAGTTTGCCTTATGCGTAATGTATTGTGTGTACTCTGGCGGTGAGCTGTGTGGCGAGTGTGGTTATGCCTATGCGCCAGTGTGTGAATGCAGTCTGCCTTACAAAATACATAGAGACGTTGAAGGAGACAAAAGGGATGTGGGGGAGACGGCTGAATACTTCACGACTGTTGCTGTTTGCTACATCTCGTATGGGCACACTTTGCTCACCAAGAGCACCCCGCAAAGCGACGTTTTTATTCTTCTTCAAACATTCCCACGGGTAGAGACAGTCGACATTGTCTTGGCGAGGGAAGTTCCCGTGACTTTGTCATCACATTGGCCTCTGCTCCAACTCAAGGCTCACACCTCTCTCATTCTCAACAAGAACTGCTTCCTACCGGCACGCGTTCCTCCCTCCCCACCTATCTCTCCCCCCCTCCCTCCCTCCCTCCCTCCCTCACCGATGATGAAAATTGTGCGAAACGACGATGTTTTCTCTTTGAAATGAATCTCACCTGCATATTTATTTTTTTCGCCCACGAAATGGGGGGGGGGGGGGGCGGGGGAGGGGTCAGTGGGTTTGGACAGCTTCAAGGAATTCGATCTTTACGAATTGTCTCACGGTACAGTGCGGGAGCAACAGCAGCAAAACGCCGCGTAACAGATACGGGCTTGGAATTCTTCGGGGGTCTGTTTTGCGCTCCGATAAAGAAGCGCGAATACATGGTGGTTTTTGAAGCTCTGGCCATGAAAACATGGCCAAGTAAAACCTGGCAGACAGACGCATGTTGCTGCTACGACTGCTGCAGCGATGTTCTTGATTATTATAAATGGTCAGCATCACAAGTTGTTGCGCACTTTTACACACACCTCGCTAAAAGAGGCGTACACAGCTCAGCGTGCGCTGTCTTTATTCATTGCCAGCCAATTGTCTTCTTATTCATCTTTCAAAACTTGAGGCTCGTGGCAAGTCTTGAAGTAAACGATACGAGGACAGAGCCACGGTGGCATCGAACCAACGCGGCGTCCAAGTTATTACTTGGGAAGGTTGGCAGTAAATCCCACATTAATTCACGAAGTGGAAATGCTGATGCAGCGTCTTTGCAAGCGCCAAAAACGCGTGAATCAATTTCAATTGATTATTCCAAAACGTCAAGATTTAACCTTGATTTGAAGATTTAACCTACGAGGTATGAATGATGCTACGATGTTTACATATCGGTGGTTCACTAATCTCCATTTACCGTGCTCAAGCAATAAAATGACACGACATCTGCCCGTGTCCAGAACAGACAGAATGTGGTCATCGTCTTCTAACTGGCAGGAGAGAGAGAGAGAGGGTGGGTGGGTGGGGGCCACTCATGCGACTGGGACCCTCTCAGATGACAACAAGCGAGAAGGAGGAGGAGGGGGGGGGGCCCTGGTTGGGACAACAACAACAACGACAACAACAACAACAACGACAACACCAACGTGGATTTAAATATTTTGTGACTGCAGGGATTCATCTTCTTGGTTCTTTCGGTAAAGTCACGTAGAATGGAAATAATAAAATAAAAACAATGAAACGTAATAAAATAAAGTAATAATATAATTATGTTTTATTTGTATTATTGTATTATTTCCATTCTACGTGACTTTACCGAAAGAACCAAGAAGATGAACACCAACGTGTTTCACCTCTCAGATGACAACAAGTGAGAAGGAGGAGGAGGGGGGCCCCCTGGTTGGGACAACAACAACAACAACGACAACAACAACAACAACGACGACAACACCAACGTGTTTCCCGTCGGTCTCACCTTCTTCTCCTTCTCAAGTTTGGCCACAGAGCCCTCCAGACTCTCCACCTCGATCTTGAGGTCCTGCACGTCGTTCTCGAGCCGGCGGCGCCTGCCGGTCAGCTCGGCCGTCGTCCTCTCCTCGCCCTCGAGGCGCGCGTTGAGCTCGGCCACTCTGACCTCCAGCTCCTTGCGCTGCCGGTCCAGGGAGGTCACCCGGCCCTGGGCATCCCCCTTCTTTCCGCGCTCCTGCGACACCGCGACACGACAACGCATCGCAATTCTAGATTTGAAGCTTTCGTGACCGCAAGGATTCATACTCTTAGGTTTTTTCGGTAAAGTCACGTGGGTAAAAAATTAAATTGAAAGTTAATAAAAGTAATAATAATAGAAATAAAATAATAAATCACGACGTTTCGGAGGCAACACAAGTCTCCGTCATCAGGTGGGACCGTCACAGCTAAAATGCACTTGTGTTGCCTCCGAAACGTCGTGATTTATTATTTTATTGTATTTCCATTATTACTTTTATTAACTTTTAATTTTAATTTTTACCTACGTGACTTTACCGAAAAAACCTGAGAGTATAGCGCATCGCAAGCCAGATCCTGCTCCCCTCCCTCCCTCCGTCCGTTCGTCCTCTCCAACCAGACTTTGATAGAACGTTCAAATAATTCGCGCGTGTATACGTGATGTGGTTTAGAGGTTACGGGAGGGCAATTGTTTTTTTTTTTACGCGGGTGAATTCGATGGCGATTAATAAGATCTCACGTTTTATCCTGTATTTACACTCTTTTAAAAAAAAAGTCTTGCAAGCATGCGCTTTGCCGCGTTATTTCGAGAACAACTATAACGGGTTTTGGAAGAGTAGAAATCCATACGAGCCAGTCGACTCTTTTACTCAGCCAACGCCTCTAAAATTCAAAGCTTAATCATGGCCCTCTAGAGCAAGGAATAATTTTGACCTTAAAAGCACGGCCCCTTAAAAGTTCTTATAAAACTGTGTATGGCTGGCAGGAAGCTAGTTAATGTGTACGGGCGAGGGAGCTCATGAAGCCCAGACGGGCGTCACATACTTCTGCAGCCTCTGCCGATAGAATCAGCTCCTCCAGCCTCACAGAATATCCATCCCAGTCCAGCTCAGTCTCCGACTCGGACTCCCAGCCAGGACCCAGGGACTTTTCTGATAACGACAGGGAACGCTTCCTCCCTGCCTGCATCATTTCATCCCCCATTGGTCAATGTTGCTTTATCTCTTGTTTCAACCTCACCTTGTCAGCGTTTGCCCTCTGACCTACCCGCCCACGACACACACAAAATAATAATTACACGTGAAACCAATTTATTGCAAACAGAAAAATATAAATGCACACTATCACTTGCCCCCTCCCTCCTCCTCCTCTCTCTACACAGAACAACGTGAAGCTCAGGACACTCGTTCAGTCAAGCGACTCGCAAAGCCGCTGGGCTGGCAGTGGAGGGGGTGGTCGACCCGCACTTGTCTGCCTCTCGACTTGTCCGAGTTTCCCAGGTGACTCGCTCGCTCTGCCCCCAAACAACTCCCACCACCACCCCCCTCCACCACCACCACAGCATGAGCAGCGAACCCTCCACGACCGTTGCCCGCCCTGCCACGCGCCGCGCCGATGGGTAACTCCACCCAATCAAGGATAATGGAGGATAATGAAGGGTAATTAAGAGTTTGCGCGCATTATTCCATTGGAGGCGCAGCAGCAACTTTGATCTTGTTTGAGCAGAGGCGGGGTTTGGGAGCACGGGGCGGTGCGGATTTGTATCGCGCGTTCATTAAGCGCCGCTTTAAATGATTACGCACCGCGTCTTTGGGATTTGCAAATACAAAATGTTTTAAAGTATCGTTTAACATTATTTTTTCCCATATGAGAATTGTACCCCTAAACGAGCACCACAACTCATGTACTGCATCTCGTAGCCGTAACTAATTTTCGAAACGTAACCCCACCGAAACCGTCGCAAAAACAGCATTTGTCCAATTTTTAGTTTAGCTTTAAAGCAAACAGCACAATTAAGGTAACGACTTACTTGAACTAGGACGCGAGGATGTTTAAACACTTTCCTCGGCTCGTTGTGTTCTATAAATGGTGACAAGCACTCGGCTTCTCTGCCCTGAGAGCTGCCTTCACGGGCGTCTAAGTAAACTCAGACGAACGCAAAAGCGAAACGCAACACCGACTTAATAAAGCCGGTTGGTCTCGATGGCGTTGGAAGTAGAGGCAGGCAGGCAGGCGCGAGGGTGGGTGGGTGGGTTGGTTGGGGGAGTTAGATAAGGGGGCTTCAGGTTTGGTGGACAAGGAGCAGCAAGCAACATGCCATTGGCCATCTCCTTAATCGCGGCTTTCACAAGGCACCTCGCAAGAAGAAGAAGCCCCATCCCATTGGATGCTTCCTTAGCTGCGGCTCCACCCCAGCGCCAGGCGAAGGCTGCCCGGGCTTGCTGAACACAACAACCCCCAGAGCGCCATGACCCCCCCTCCCTCACTGCCCCCTTGTTCAAGGTGCACCTTTTGTGAACGTTTTTATTGATACATCACAAATCAGGCTGGGTGGATTAATAACAACGCAGGGTCGTGAGAGGTAGTGGATTGACCGTGGCAGATGATTGCTGTTATGGTGAGGGGTATTTAATGGGCACTCTATTTTTATGTTCCAACACCAAATAGATTACACTTTTGCAAGGCATCGAGTCTGCACTCACCACACAGTACCCGTGGCAAAACATGCAAACAAACGCGCTCCGATTATACTATAAGCATTGTCTTTTAAACTGATGTGCCTACACCGGAGACGTAATGGCCTTGTCTCAGCAGTGTTATATCAGCGAATGCCAAAAAAGTGAATGGTACAAAGACATTGTAAGTATCAGAACACTTAGAACTCAGGTCGAGCAGTTGTTTACATCTGATTAAGAATAGGTAAAACCTAAGAACAGGTTTTAATCTATTCTTATTTTAATAAAAAAAAATATTTGATTAATAAGGACAGGTAAAAATAATAGGTAAAAACTATTATTTTTCATCATCTTGTAAAACTGCCAAAATGTCCCATATATATATTTTATGTTTCTTCTGACTTTGGTTAATCATGAAACAATTGTTGTAGGTTCTACACGACAGCATGCAAGAGGGATTCTGCTTGCCCCATGTGAACATTCACGGTTTCCACATGTCACCGAGAGTCTTATCCAGTTTACAATTCATATCTGCTACGCAAAAAGGGGGCTCTCTTATCAAACATCATTCACGTGGCATTCCTTGGCAGCCAAAACATGGGGCATGCGAATTCGAGCGACCTAGACAGATCGCATCGGACTCACCCCCAGACTCGAGACAGATAGCCATCCTTCTGCACTGCCATTCCCCTCCAAGTCATTTCTCAATAACAAACATGCCAGTGGCTTTACATCTTTTCAACGTATGACATCGCCGGGGTAAATGTGATTCCGCAAGTGAAGGTGTCCTGGACATTTACTGTAATGTTGGAGAATACCTGTGATTAATGAGTTACAAGAGTGAATTCAGATTGCCAGTTTAATATTTAAAATACCGTTATTTCCAAAACTATAACTTTTATTACCTAATTCCATTGAAGGATGCCACAAAAATTAACCTTGACATTGAACAAAAAAGTGAACTGTAGAGAAATATGACAATGCAACTGATAACAAGAGCTCCTTCATTTTAAAACGAATTCTCTTTCACTCCTGGGATGATTTGCTGTCAATAAAAGCTACTGTGAAATGTGACCATTTAGAACTAGATGCATAAATAAGACTAATACGTCGAGTGAACATAAAAAAACGTGTTTAATATGTGTCAGCATGCACAAATGCTTACACTCCAACATGAAACACATAATTCCATATTTCTTGCAAAAAACAAAGCCCAGCTACCTTAAGTAATTCAAATAGACACCTAATTTACTACGTGGAGAAAGTGTGATTTGAAATATGTTCGCGTGCAGGTAATCCTTCAGCCAACGAGATATTAACGTCCGTACGGACCGTGACGGAGATGAGACCACACAGACGCTGAGGAATGTTTCGAAAAACATTCCGGCCTCACACACACACAAAAAATGAATGAAAGCTCTTCTCATCCCTTCTCTGTCCCGGGTCCATCGCACAGTGCGCGCTGTACGCACGGCTTGCGGGAGCATGCACGGGTCGCCTGACGGCCTCGGAGCGGAGAGCGCGAGCGAGAATCCAGCGCCCATCGCCGCACGCAATACCACACACGGGCATGCATGCGTGTGTGCGCACATGCAAATGTAAACATGTACTCGATTCACACGTTCACACCTAAGAATTCTATAGTGCTGGACGAATTTGCAAATGACACTTTTAACGATGCTTTTAATTATTTGGAGGTCATTGACAATACGCTGCTGCCGTGGGTGTAGTGGTTAGCAGACTGGGGTTGCGAATCCAGAGGTCGCTGGTATGATCTCCTGGCGCAGCAATTAAAATAATCGGAACATTTATTAAATCTCCCCACCACTCTATGCGCCCAGCAGTAGTAATGGATACGTCACTGTTAGTCTTCGTTTCTCATAATACTTTACAGGTTTCGTTCCAATATTTGGTTTCCAAGGGGCAACAAGGTTCTGCCCTCGATGAACGTACGTATGTTGAACTTCTTTCGCGCCGTACGTAGCCAACTGCGCTAATCTGAGATGCGGAGAAGGACCACAAACTGAACACAAAAAGCAGTTGATTAGGAAGCCACTGGAGCTACGCACTTTTAATTATAGATTACAAACTAATTCCTTTAGAACTGCTTTTCGTGTTTAGTTTGTTGTCCTCCCACCGCACGTCCGGCGTGCACGGTTGGCTACGTACGGTACGAAAGAAGCTCAACACACGTACACGTACATATGGCCTTCCTTCATGGCACCGTGGATTTGCATTCCCGGCCGGACGGACGATGAACTCACAGCGTCAAGCTGCTCCTGCAGGGCATTGCGTTCGGTCTCCAACGTGGCCACCCTCTCTGTGAGCTCCTTGAGGTCCTCCACCATCTTCTCGGCCTCCTGCAGGGCCCTCTTCATCTCCTCCTCCTTCTTCTTGCGGTCTTCTTCCTCCTTCAACTGGATGCACATCGGCCTCACCTGCCAAGTCACGACAGACACACTTTAACAGTGTTCTGCAGCAATTCGCTTCAGGCCCAACGCAAATGATCATTCCGAAGATTGTATAAGTTATGTACGATGTTCAAAACCATTTTAAACACCTTAATGAACACCGAAAAATGTATATATATTTTTTTTATAATTCCTGTGATATTATTCTACACAAGACTATGAATACAGGGAGTCTAATACTCAACTGGGACTGTCTGGCACATGCCACTTATGCACATCATTGTTACACTGCTAATAACAAGTCAACAATGCTTCGCATTCTGTTACATTTTTGAGCTTGTAGGAGTGTGGTCATTAATTTTTTTTTTAATACGAACGCCTTTTGAACGTGCGATGCAGGAATATGCACCCATGTTGTTTTGAGGAGACATGGTATATGATATCAGATTCTAGGATACAAAAGCCTACACACATCTGATGTTGAGTCCCCAAAAATTGGCGTGGGTGGGGGCTAGTTATTTAATTAATAACCGGTTTTAATTGTGCTGATTTCAAATATCAAAACTAGATTTTCGCTGGTGCCTTTGGCGAAAAATAGCAGTGGAAACTAAGGCCAATAGTAAGCAGGAAACACCCCCGTTACCAGTTACTGACACTCCACCGTAGCCTTTCATTTTATTTAACATACACTTAAAAAAAGAATGTTATGCCTTTAAGCGATAACATTTATGCACATATTAATGATACGTACTTTTACAATTTTGTAAAAAAAATTGTATGGACGTCTGTTGTGAAAACAGCCCAAATCGCATAACAAGTCCACCGTGGTGAAGAAAGAATCGACGTGGAATTACACGGTCGAAATGTTGCAAAACAGGCCGTGACATTTTGAAGACGCATCCGCGAGGTGAAGAAAGCTGACGCTGTGAGTGAGAAAAGACCCATAAGTGTGAAGCACACTTTTGAGACGTGGGCGATCTACCGATGTGAGAGAGTTGAAGTAGTTTTGACACACGAGAGAGAGAGAGAGAAAAACATCAGCACTTGGGCCAACAAGCCTACAATCGCCATCACTTCAAATTAAGGTAATTTTTATTTTATTCGCGGGCTGAACTGCTCAATGCGCACATCACACTTATAATACGACCGCTGCCCTTTTGGCAGAGAGAAGCAGCGAAAGGCAGTGTGATGAAACATTTGTGTAAATTATATTTGTGCGGGGGCTATGTGAGTGCCAGCTGACATTGAACGAGATTGGCGAACTGGAACAGTGGGGGGGGGGGGGGTGAGGTGGGGGGGGGGGTGTGTGGAGGAAAACAAACGCGAGGTTTCGTCGTTACGTACTTGAGCCAGGTGCTTCACTTGCACACTAACGATGGGGTTTTCCTGCTGGAAATCCGTGTAAAACAAGAACACTCTCTTGTCCATCCCACCCGTGGCGCCGAGTGGCCGCACCAAAATCCCGCGCTCCTTCGGACCGGCTCGGGCGGCCGGCGTTTTTAGGCGCGGGCGTTCTAGCGCCCGCCCGCCCGCCCGCGCGTGCCCGTGCGTGTGTGTGCCGGGGCGTGCGTGCGCGCGTGCCCATGCGTGTGTGTGCCGGGGCGTGCGTGCGCGCGTGCCCGTGCGTGTGTGTGCCGGGGCGTGCGTGCGCGCGTGCCCGTGCGTGTGTGTGCCGGGGCGTGCGTGCGCGCGTGCCCGTGCGTGTGTGTGCCGGGGCGTGCGTGCGCGCGTGCCCGTGCGCGCGTGCGTACCGGGGCGTGCGTGCGCGCGCGTGCGTGCGTGGAGGAGGGTGGTTTTTTTTTGGGGTTACGCAGCGAGGGGAGGGCTTTGCGGAGCTTGCACGCACGTGAGAGGCGTCGATGACTGAGAAGCTCAAACCTGCGGCCCCCCCGAGAGAGAGAGACAGAGAGGATTGCCGCCCGGTCCGGTTTGAGCACGGGCAAATTGGTGGCGCCACGTGACCGCGGCCAGGTTTGCTGTGGCCTCAGAGGAATGATGTGAAGAGGTGACCGCTTCACCGAGGGGGCGAGCGGCAGTGTAGCGGGTTCGTGCTTCCCGCGAACCCGAGTTCGATTCCCACCCACGGCCAACGACGGTGACGAATATCTGAAACCGGCTCCTAGGCCCTCCCCCTAGGTCGACTCGGCCTCAAATGAATACCTGCTGCGGTGTGTAAACAGCGCCACTGGGGACAGAAAGGCGGCCCGGTCGTGGTGCTGGCCACCCACCCCCTCGTGTGCTGTTCCGGCCTTCGTAGGTGCCCACTAAGAGCACTTGCCCCAACAGTATGTTAAGGCTATACGGGGGATCTTTGTCTTTTGCTGCTGAGCAAACACGGAGTTCTTTGCTTTTGGCCGAGGGCCATTTTGCACCCGACAGATCTATTGCAAAAGTGCGTTCATTCGCAGCATTTGTGTGAGACCTTTGTTGCATTGTCATTTCACTTCTCCTCTCTTCTTTTAGAGTTCCCCTTTTCAGAGGCTGTAGGGAGGGAGGCGATGGAGCAGTGTGGGGTGCGGGGTAGAGGCGAGCGAGCTGTGACACGACGAATCTGACGACCTGAGCTCGATTCACGGTCGCCACGGCTCATATCCGTGGCGAGTGGTACCACGAATGGTCCTGCTCTCTCTTCCGACCCCACCCGTTTCGCCGAACCCGCAATGACCAGCGTGGCGAAGTATGGTCAAAAAAGACCCCGTAACTGACATGCTGTGGGCAAGTGTTCATCAGTTGATGGATCGAGCATGGGCGGAATTATGTCTATATTTTTTTTGTCATATGCAGAGCCTTCCAAACATATGTTAATACAGGCTGGAAGGCTTGTTTAAATTCCCAACGCGAGTTTTTTTTTCTGGCAAATATTTGATTTCCAATGGAAACGTCACGGTTCGGTAGCATGTGAAATAATGTTTCTATCTGCATACATCAGTGTTCGGTAAAGGAAGTGGGAGGACGGGAAAATAAAAATTCAAAATGCTATCTGCCTAGACAAATTGTTGTGCTACTGCTGCACGTTGATGAATGCATTGTTGGGAATGCACGCACATACGCAGTCCCATCTTCATACTGCGCAGTGGATGTCTTTGCAAATGCCTGATAAGTTAAACATCTGTGGTTGCCTGCTCATAAGCCTATACGTTATTATTCCTTTACTTAAGTCATATATACACAGCACTGTATATATACGTCAAGGTATATATATGAAATAGTGTGCGTGTGTTGTTGAGAGGGCGCGTCTACATCGGCCACGCCAGTTGCTATAAATTCCCGTAACGTTGAAGGGAAATACATGTATGGTCACATTGTGAATGCTAAACACCTGAAGGGATTGTCGTTACCTACACGTGGCAGGGCAGAGCAGTACCTTTGTGTAGAGTCGGAACCAGGGCCAGTGACGCAGCTGAAGGAAGCTTCGAACGTTGGACTGAATAATCACCATGGCGTCCCTGTTTGAGAGAACGCACGCACGCACGAGAAAAAAAAACCCCAAAATAAAACTCCAGATTTCATTGGGCTTCATAAAAGGTATCAAGGGCAGTGCCACGTGTCGCAGCCGTTTTCTCAATCCATTGTTGAAGGCAGGCCTCGCCACTCCATCAGTTTAGTTTGAGCGTACTCTAAGGTTTTTTCGGTAAAGTCACGTAGGTAAAAGAAATCTAGAAATAGTTTGAGCGTGTTTACAAACACGCTCATGAGGGAACACTCTTCTAGGACTGAAGAGCCGACACCAACAGCTGCCAATATACACACATTAATAGGTAAATAATACTCGAGTATATGAAATTGTGCTCACGGGAATCAATAATTTTGCAATTTGTATATTTCTACAAATTGCTCAGGTATTGTCGAGTATTTTCTTCCAGTGTTTGTTTTGGTAAGATTTAGATTTCAACTCCACAGCAGCATTTTGCGAGCGACACATTTTAATGCCTCGTGCCTGTTCCCACGTGCCGCTCCGCACAGCAGAAACATTCACTTGTCAAGCCAAAGGCCCCCCCCTCCCCCCGCTTTTCTTTTCCTTCGTAAACTCACCGGTGTACTTAGACCGGTGGGCTTCAAAGCCGGGGCTTTAACGTCGTTATCTGGGGCAAAAACCATGCCCAAACATTCCCTCGGCTCAACCGCCAGGCAGCCCGTCCATGCTACCGCACTCGCTATCGGGGGCAGGCATCAAGGTCCCCAGCCCCCCCCGTGAAACTCAACCGCACGGTAAAACCAGATAATAGGACGAGACCCGCCTTTGACCTCCTTTCGCGAACGCGAAGGAGCCAGGCTTGTGTCGCGATGTGACGACGAGCGCCGCTCTCTAATGACCGACCGTGCCGACAGCACAAGCACACAACCCGATTTGGGGTCGCGTAAACATAATTAACCCATTGATTTCCCTCGATTTTGTAACCGCTGGAGTCACAAAATATCGGCGCGCTATCACGTTACTGTGTCATCACGCGAATGTTAAAACGTTAAATGTGGAATTTGTGGCCGACTTCGTGCAACTGGTGCCGTAATTGGGCAATTTATAACGACGTGACACTGAGAGGCAGCTACATCTGTGACATTTTAGTTCAATATGTCCTCGTTACACTGCAAAGTTTGCCTGGATCTTGATGATTGCATTATCTGGTCATGAACACTTATCGAACTGATATTAAAACACAACAATAAAACCGAAGCAAAGGCTTGGATGATGATCATGTTGGCTGATGAGCAGTCGGGTTTTTGCCCTTTTGATTTACCAGTATCTAAAACAACACTTACATTTTGTCGAGAGAAAAAAACGCTGCAACATTTCCATTTTTATAAATTACTCAAAAGAGCCCACAATCTGTTTTTAAGGCCAAGCCAAAGCGACGCATACAAAAGAAAAAGTATAATTCTGATCATGAGTCAATTAATATTTCATGCCTTTAGTTAAATGCATGCAGCAAAATAAATAAGCGGAAACGGTCCTTAAATAATGGATGCCGCCAAAGAGGTATTCCAACAACCGTTCCCGAGATGCCGGAGACCCTTAATAATACATGGAAATGGCAGGGAATCAACTCACCTCTTGTCCAGGACCTTCTGGAAGTCACGGCGGAAAACTTTGCCGCGGCAAGAGGCCTGCAGCTTGGTGATGAAGCGGCAGATGCAGTCGTCGCGGATGTCTTCCAGTTTGCCGAGAACGCCGGCCCGGAAAAACACCTGCACAAGGGATGCAAATGGCTCAAGTGCGATTACCCCCTGAAGAGAAAATTTCTCTTTGAATAGAAATATATAATTATGGAACAAAAGTGAAACGTCTAACTACAAAAAAGCAAAAACGTGGAAATTACGTTGAAGGACAGAACGAGGAACACAGGGATGAGAGAACATGGGTCGGTACATGACTATTGTTTAAACTGTTGGGAAAAGTAAGTGGGATTGGGGAAGGGCACTTCGCTGGATAGGATGGATGATGGCCGATGGTCAAGAATAATTAAACGTGCCGAGGAAATGGAGTGATGAAATCAGACTTGAATCTTTCGTGACTGCAGGAATACATATTCTATGGGTCTTTCGGTAAAGCCACGTAGATAGAAAAGTAATAAAAAATATCACGACGTTTCGATCGCAACACGAGCAATCGTCTTCATGAAATCAGCTTTGGGTACAAGTGGACTTTTACATCGTGGGATCTTCAGAGAGGGTGACGGCTTCGGGAGTCCTTCATACAGCAATGGTTTGATCATGTATGATGATGATAATGAAATGAAGTACCAATGTGACTTCATAAACTATGCTGTTTGTGTGGGTTCCCCATTTTAAACAAATCACTATGAATAAATACGTCACTAGCCTATTATGCAATAATAATCACAACGCCACATAAATAAATAAATACATGCAAATGTATATTCACTTTCACCACGGCAAAAACATTCGTATGATATTTGTTGATTTTACTCCACGCAAAATCAACAAATATTAATCTTTCAATGGAATATTATTTTGTTCAAGGGCAACGGTGGCGCTGAAAGCACATGCACGAATCGGTCCCCCGTTCCTGCTTGCAACGCTTTGCATCTCTCTCTCACCTTTGTGAAGCCAATCCTATACTCATCCTCCACGAGATATGTGGATTTCAAAACCTTCTCTGTGATGGCCTTAGGATCAGTCTCCGTCTTTCCAGCAACTGGGTTAATGATTGAGTAACTAAGAGATAAAGAAAACGCACGGTGACATTATTCCTTTAAAAAAAACACGTTTTTTTTAAAAAAATCGAAATGTGTCATGAATCTCGAACTACATAAACACTTTTTGACAGAAAATCTACCAACTACACATTGCGATACAGCATATACACAGACGTGTTTTTATTTCTGTAAAGTATACACACACATGTAAACATATCAACATTTTTTTGATAACTTGGTAATAAATTTCTCTCTTTAAACATAGCAATCATGCGTTGAGTATATATCATTGTATAGGTAGTAATGCCGCGTAAATACGACAACATCATGCGCAAAGCATCCAACCCTGTTCGATCTCGGAAGCTTAGCAGATGTTGAGCCTGGATAGTGCTTGGACGGGTCGCCAGCATGCGTATAACACACATGGGCAGTAGAGGGCAGTGAAGCAAAATCCACTGCTGTTCTGTACCCCCTCCCACCCTCCTTGACCATCCCGTACTGACCAGCGTGGTGAAGCATGGACACGAATCCCCCATGGCATGGAGAGCATGGGGAGGCCGTCCATACAGCGGCGGATTGACAAAACAGGATGTGCATGTGGAATGATAGCACCCAGGGACAGAGCCTCGGATACATCTAGAGTAACTTTGCTGTTACTTCTTAAACAAAATATTTTGACAGCCGCTGATATAAATTGACTTCAGGTGTGCGCCGTATTTGGAGGATCTTGACTCGCTCAGCTTTCGAGACGGGCGCATGACTCAACTCATCATGCCTACAGAGTCAATACAATAAGTGCAGGTATTGTTGTAGTTTGGGATAAGTTAACAGATGCCACGCTATGAAAAAGCTTGCCCCCCAGGCAAGGAAATTTGGATTTTGTGACTCACTCAGGGCCACTAACAAATACGGATTTGCATTTAAGCTTAGGAATTTGCATTTGTAATGCACTCAAATGTCTCACCAACTCAATGCGCTTTATCACATCTGATCTCGACCATGCCCTACTGCAGTATGGCCAAGGAGACCCCGAACGGCAGATCTCCCTATGTGACTCAAGATGGCCTTGCAAATGGGCCTTGGTTTAGCAGTGGGGGGCATTGTTACTATGCTGTTTTTTCCACATTTAAGTAATATTCGAATCTAGTTTAATATTCAGTAATTTTGGTAATTTTGCCAAGTTGAACTATGACACTGGCACACATAGCCTACTAAAAAAAAAAAATAGAACGTCATGAGGTCGTTGACGTTCACCACGAAGCAGAATGCAAGTATTCAAGTTTAATTCCTCCACTGTGTTACCCAGGGTGGCCGCTGGGCTCCAACAGCAACGATGCAACAAGTGGCGAACGTGCTTTCACGTCTCGGCCATCTCCCCGCCCCTGAGCAGATGCGCGCACCTTCCGACGTCTCTTTGATCACGGAGCAGAGGTCGCAAACGGATTTTGATTCCTTACCCGTACACGTACCTGGCCGCACCAGGGTCGCAAATGGGTACCAGTACCTGGCCGGGTACGGGTACCCGTTCCCTACCCGTACCCTACCTGAAATGAGTGACAAACGGTTACTCACCAGTGACTCACGGCCTACCCGTACCCGTATCCGGCCGCACCAGGGTCGCAAATGGGTACCCGTACCTGGCCGGGTACGGGTAGCTGGGTATCGGGTAGGGTACGGGTATCGGGTACCCGGTTGCGACCTCTGTCACGGAGGCAATTGTGATTTGCTGGCAGCAACGGGATGGGTGGTCAGGCTTACCGCTGCACAAACTCGGGGTACAGAGTTCTGTTGGGGAAGCCTTTGCGACAGATACGGATGCCCTCCAGCACGCCGTTGCAGGCCAGCTGGTGCAGGATGAGGTGAGCGTCCACCATGCCTGCGTGAAGGTCAGGCCAGAGGCCGTTAGATCACACAGCAGCAAGAACACAGAGGCGACGGGGCAACTGTGTGGGCCGCACGTCGCGTTCACGCAAACCTCCGCGCAAAAAAAGAATGTGACTTCAAGGAATGCAGCCGCCTGTCTCTGCAGGACGGCATTAGGATTTCGACGAATCGTACTTTGCTAGAATGGAAATTCTAATTGCCCACAAGCCTCAAATTATGTGATGGACGTCTTAAGCCAAGCTCAATTCCATGTCTATGGTGTTAAAAGAAATCTGGAAACGTTGAGATATTTCCGTGGCTGAAAACAGAGATCTGCTTGTGTGTTATACTCGTATGTACAGTATGTATGCACTTAAAGTGTGTGGTTAAACTGATTTCAATTCCAAATTGGAATTTAAGATTTTTTTTATCGGCTTATTTTGCTCCTAGTCGTTGCGTTTAGTTGCATCATTTTACAGATAGTGTTTATTTTTAGGAAATAAAAATTGCCAATTTGTGCAAAAGCAATATCGCTCTTGGTTTACAACTGCTGCAGTGTTGCTTGATGGTTACAGCCTCTGACATCTGGTGTGCCCCGAACATTTTACACATGTGAATGGCAGGATGACATTAACTGCCAACTTCTAGATTCATTGCTTATTCCAGGTTTTTTTTATTGACCTTCCATTCACTTGTTATACGGTGAGAATAATTCACTCGCAATGACTTGAAAATAAAGAACATTTGCATAAATCATGATGCATTTCAGCACTTAAGAATAATTGTTGTTGTTTTCATGTAACCTTGAAAAACTGAATGTCCCAAGATCTGGACGGGTCTGGGGTGGCTAAAAAGGCCCCTCCCTCCCCTCCCTCCCCCCCTCACTCCCCCCCTTCCTACCCTACCCTCCCCTCCCCTACCTCCCTCCACTCCCTCCCCTCCCTCCCCTCCCTCCCAAGGACCAGCTTCCTTCAGCTGCGTCACTGGCCCTGATTCCGACTCTACACGAAGATTCCGCTGTCTTGCCACTGCTATTTGCCTACCGGCCAGTGGAGTTAACGCAATCCATTGAAGAGCTGGAGCATCATGCACGATAGGCAAATGCAGATCGTATCGTTTTCGATCCGCTTCACATTTGTTTGCAGCTTGTTTACGTTGATATGTTGAACTTTTTTCGCACCGTACGTGCCAACCTTGCTGACTGTGTCGTGTACTCCCCACCACCCGCCCCTGGGTTTTTGTATACCCCCACCCCACCCTCCCCCTTTAAACAAGGTCACGCCACAGGGTTGGTCAATACTTGTTCAGGAGCGTTGGGTATTTTAACGAGAATGTTTGCATGTGGGAAAAAAAACAGCGCACGGTAAAAAAAAAGCCTACGGATGACGGTTAACTTAGGTTAAGTGTATTTTGTTGAACCAGTTGAGAAATCAAGAGTTCAGGATGAGTCTCGTTTGCAAGAGTGAGCTCGTGCATGAGTCTGCCAGTACGTGGCAATAGTCGCTAAGTAGAATTCCAATCGAGTAAATTTGCAGGTAATTTTCGAATATGGGAAATTATGACCCTGACGTCGGCACACATTAATTATTATGATTACACTTGCAGTATTAATCAGGGCGGCCGCTGGATTCGAACCGTTAACTGCAAGCGGCCAACGTGCTGGGCCGTCTCGCCAGGTATGTTGAATATTTGGTTGCCGCTATAAATTTCCACGTGACAAGCCACTTCGTTGAGCTGTCATTTGTGGCCAGGTCGCTTCTGAAAAAGAGCTACGTAGCTCAGTGGGCCTTACCTGGTTATGTGAGTAACATATTTACTGTCCTGGCTTTTCGTAGACCTGCCAATCTGTGATCACGTCACGCGATCCCTTCTGCATGATCTACCAACAGTGCCTCAAAAAGTGCCGGGTAAAATTATACATGCACTGCCCTGTCGAGCAAGGAAGGTGTCAGGAAAGATTTCAACTTGAATAGAAATGAATTCAAAAGCACTTTTGGTGTTTGTGCCATTCTTTATAGTGCAAGGCTATATAAAAGAAGGCGCCACGTGTTATAGACAATCATAGTCTGCAGTCGTTTTACACAAGACGGCCAACGTTGCTGTGCGCTTGCCTTTACTCAACTGTAATTTGAAAGTAATTTTCAAAATTGAACGAAATAAAAAAAAATTGGCCGCCACACACGGCTTACAACCTCTTCTCCAGAGCAATACAAAAGTATACAGAAGACAAAGTTTCAGGTAAGGCTCTTCTTCAAAGCGGAAGGACAGTTTTCAAAACATCTCCTTATATATATATTTTGTTTTACTATGATCTCAGTCATCCACTGTGAAGCAGAAGGCGAAAATATGTTTTGGTCAATGCACGCACAGTCTTCAACGGGACGGACACGTGGGCTTGAACCGCAAACGTCTGCGGTTCACTCGGCCAGGTCAATGCCCCACTGACCCCAGGCGGATAAACGCCAGGGTCTCGCCACTGCAGCCCAGCGCATAGGAAGGCTATCCCGTGCACACAGGGAACGATTATTGTACCACTGTAGTTTTATTTCATTCGTTAAAAGCAGAATAATGGAGAAGCATCTTTTTCCCACATCGGTAGCAGTATGACGGACGATGATTTGAAAAATATAGTAATTCAGACATCCACCCATAGGTGTTCCGAGAAAGTAATCACAACGGACCAATGGCCCCTTGAAACGGTATTGCCTGCTCTCCAGGTCAGGTCACGCTTTTTGAAATACAAAAAAAAAACACGTGCAACATGGAAATGTTGCTTTTTTTGCTTACTTTTAGTTCGTTGCTCATCCTCGTTTTACATTTGGTTTTGAGTTACAAGCAGAGTGACGAACACACTTCAATAATTATGCACAATTATTGTGTTGGGTCAGATCACATGAGGATGCTGGTCATGACGACCGGCGGAACGTGGTACCCAATTGTAAAATGTGCATGGATTCCTCTCCAACAACAGCGGTGGTGCTTCCGAAGCGGTGATACATTGCTTTGCCTTTTTTTTTCGATTTAAAGCTTTCGTGACTGCAGGGATTCATCTTCTTGGTTCTTTCGGTAAAGTCACGTAGAAAATAAAACATAATAAAATAATTCTCACGACGTTTCGGCCACAACGCAAGCAGCCGTCCTTCACCTGAGGACGGCTGCTTGCGTTGTGGCCGAAACGTCGTGAGAATTATTTTATAATGTTTTATTTTTATTATTTTATTATTTCCCTTCTACGTGACTTTACCGAAAGAACCAAGAAGATGAATCGCTTTGCCTGTTTATCGCGTGACAGCGTTGTTATTAATCGGCTGTCTTTGGACGGAGGAGGGTACAGGACACACATTCTCCTTACCGTGCTCTGGCCCCAAGAAATGTATTCCGAATCATAATATTAATCACGAAAGCCTGCACGCATTACACTTTAATAAATCAGCGGTAGTTTATTATCGATGAGACTTGGCTCACCTGATTTCTTGAACTCATTGGGGACTATGCAGCGGACAAAGTGAGGAGAGGTGCTGTGAAGAGTCGCCATGAGCTTGTTCAGCTGCTCCTGGATTGCAGAACGCAGCAGTGGGAAACACAAATTGTCTCTACAGAGAGCACACCGCGTGTGATATATCATTACAGCAGATTCTTACTGGATGCATCGTAACCTATGTAACCGCGATTACGTTGCTAAGATATGTTCTGTATAACGTCTGTACCCGTCGCAGGACGCCTGTAAAATAGGGCTTAACAACTCATTGGGTCCTTCCTGCTGAAAAAAATAAAATCGATCCGCTCTCTGTCTTCGAGATTGAATATGAAAGATGAAAATGACAGTGGTGAAAAAGCGTGCAAGTTGTGCCGATTATCCAGTTGGATTGTCAAAAAACAAGCCCACGCTTTAAAGAAGGAAAACATATATATACGAAAATAGGCAAACATTTTGGGCAATGGCCCCTTTCCATGGCAATACAAATTATATTAAAGGCAAAACATTTCGAAAAAGGCTCTTTTGTGCTTGTGCAGCACACACTTAGACAAAAGCTGGATTATATAAAGGAAGGTGAACTCACTCTATAAAACACTGATACGGTCTGGAAGGCCGATCCTTTCTTCTGCTTTTGCTTGGCGCCGGCTGGGGGGGAGTAAAAATAGATGCGACAAGATAAAGGAACGACGCGTCGCTTTCACAGCGATGACTCCGCTCTTGTGCCAGTTGCGCCTGTGCATTGTGGTTTTGACAAAATAAACGCGTTACAACAAACCCCAGTTACATATTCTAAATCATTAATTAACCATCACGAGCTTAAATATACGCTGCCAAGCCTGTTGGTGCCCATTCAGACGCTGTCTTTCCGACAGACCTGTTCTTCACCTGAGGACGGCTGCTTGCGTTGTGGCCGAAACGTCGTGATAATTATTTTATTATGTTTTAATTTTATTATTTCCCTTCTACGTGACTTTACCGAAAGAACCAAGAAGATGAATCTCTGCAGTCACGAAAGCTTTAACTCGAAATTCATCACAAGGTATTTTTAGAACAGAACAGTGACGTACACAGTCATTATTTGAAAAGTCACTCGCTTACTGTTCAATGGCGCAACCGTGTATGTGCTATCTGTGGTTATTAAGTGCCACTGTTGCTTTATTATGTTATCAATGTTGATGTAATGTTAAAAATGCATCACGTTAGCTGATTTTTACCACAGTTAGTAACGGAAACAAGGGGTAGATTTACGCCAAAAATTGCGTAAATAGACATATTCACAATCATAAACAACGATCTCAACCACTTCATCATGCCACTGCTGGATGAAGGCCTCCGCATGCCGTGTCGGTCTTGGAGGTCATTTGGCCGTTCTTCATCACGCTGGTCAGTGTGGATTGGTGGAGGGCATGGGTGGCGAGGCCAAGGACTGGTTAAAATATCACTCACCACCGCTGTTAGCTCTAGCTGGGAATGAAAAAAAAACTAAAATAAAAATCAAACTATGTTTTATTTTACCCGGTAAGGCCCACTGAGCTATGTAGCTCTTTTTCAGAAGCGACCTGACCACAAATAATAGCCCAACGAAGTGGCTTATCACGTGGAAATGTATAGCAGCCAAATACTATGAACGCGTGACGTTGATTCTAAATGTAGAGGGAAAAACCGGAGGGCCCGGAGAAAAATCTACCCCACCACGTAACTGTGGCACCAATATGTAATCAAATCATTACAATTGATTACATATCAATTATAATTGATATGTGATGGGCGACGTTCTGGGCAATGGCCCACTTCATAGCACATTTGTGCCTGAAGAAGCGTCTGAAATGTCGCTTACTGTACGTATGCATACTTTAACGCAGCATCTAACAGGCTGCTGGGGCAAGTGCGGTTAGTAGCGAGCAGAGACGCAGACAAAGCTTCCCCGTGTAGCCTCGAATAAACTGCGGGGCAAGTGCGGTTAGTAGCGAGCAGAGACGCAGACAAAGCTCCCCTGTGTAGCCTCTGTCAGACTGCTGGGACAAGTGTGGTTAGTAGGGAGCAGAGACGCAGACAAATCTCCCCTGTGTAGCCTCTAACAGGTTGCTGGGGCAAGTGCGGTTAGTAGCGAGCAGAGACGCAGACAAAGCTGACTCCTGGGGCAAGTGGCCCTGGGAGTGCGGTGCGCTGACGGGACTGCACCACACAGCGCCCCGTCCTTGATTGGCGAGCGAGAGGTTCCTGCCAAAACGACATTGGCGTACACTCGGGCATACGAACAGCTGTCAACCCATACGGGTTATTACTGTGCAGGGAAATTGAGTTTTCAGGTCCATACGGCATGCAGCCGTTGCAATACGGGCAACAACATGTATTGTGTCTGTTTGTTTGTGTTTCTCTCTTGTGATGGGACTTTGTAGGATGAACGTTGAGATGCACAAGGTGGCATGGAGGTGACCAATAATGTCCGAATTGGTCTGACAAGGGGTTGCGTTTGCCTCGCGGCACCTCGTTGCGGGCATCACCTGCTGCCTCTTCCTCCTTGAAGAGTACTGACAGAAGGGGCATGCTGGAGTTCTGGAAGAGGCTCACCACCGTCTCATTCAGCGGGTCCTTGTTCTTCTCAAGCCACCCCTGCGTGTTGTAGCCCACCTGGGAGACGACGCAGTTTTACGTGTTTATATGTTAAATCAGTTCGTCCCCAATTTTCAAGAGAAGTGCATTTCTCCCGACCCCCCCTCCCCAAAGACAAAAATCCCCCCGTATAGTCTTAACAGACTGTTGGGGCAAGTGCTGTTAGCGAGCACCTATGAAGGCCGGAACAGAACACGAGGGGGTGGGTGGCCAGCACCACGCCCGACCGCCTTTGCTGAGGTTATCCATGAGTTGGTGCCCTTCTTCAAGTTGTTCTTGACGAAGGGACATCCTTGAAGCGCTTTCTCTGCTCTCCCCGACGATCCGTTGTAAGGAGATAGTCACAGAATTTAGGAGATCTCGTCAAGTAATCGGAGTTAAACACGAGGGGGCAGCACTTTCATGCACGCTTTGGCACAGAGTCATGTTTGTCGCATTGACAGTCAAGACGGTATTTTATTCATTCTCATCGCCAGAAATTTGGCCAAATGGAAGTGCAGCACACAAATGTCACGCTGCGTCCTTTTTCGTGTTTTTAAATTTTCATGCAGGCATTTTGGTAGCTAGCCTGAGGCAACCGACTCATGATTACACTCGATAGCCCGGTTCAATCACGACCTGATTCAAGCGCGGGCTCTACGCACCGCCGTCTCTGCGCTCCGGACCCCTGAGATAACCTGGCGACCTCCCAACAGCGCGGGGGTAATTGAATTAACCACTAAATTTACACAGCGGCACAATTGCAAAGCGCAACGGGTGCCGGTGTGACAGAGTGACCCTGCGAAGCCCTATAGAAAGTTAACAAGACCAGCCCCTTGTGAAATGTAACAGCACGCTATAAAGCTTCGCCCCCACGCAATTACATTTGATGTTAGAAAACTTGAAGTGCCGTTGCCAGCGAAGCTGGGTGACTCAAGAGTGAAGGTCATTAGCTGATCGATCGGACGGACGGATGCATCACGAACATGACATCAGCGTTCTTCATTCACCCACAACCACTAAACCCCGTCCATTAAATCTCTTTAGTCAAAATTCCCACGTTGGGCTTGGCGGACAAAGCCAATTTGACAGTGGCTGCCCGATGGTGACTGTAACCTGAGCCATCACGCGCTCAGCTTATGCACGACTCGTGTGCACGCTTTGTCGGGATGCCTTTTTACCGTGCCGGCGTAGTGCAGGAGTTCGAAGGTGGCCTCTTGCCCAGCCTTCTTGCCCGCCTTGGGCTTCTGGAATGGCGCAGACTTGCCCAGGTGGTTGTCGTACATGGCCGCCTTGAAGCTGGCGTCCGTGGCCTTGGGGAAGACGCACTGCTCCTCCAGGATGGAGAAGATGCCCATCGGCTGCGCAGGGGAGAAGTACGTTAAAAATAGAAATTGCTGGAAAAAAAAAGCGAACCGCACGTTAAAGGTGGGCTGGGGTGGCAGTGTCGCGGTTAGCGGTTAGCGCTGCACTGCCGCTTGGTTCGTTAGCACCGTGAAGCGGTTAGCGCGACACTGCACGAATGAACCCCGTGACCCAAGTTCGAGTCTCGCTCAAGGCCAACATCGGTGACAATTATTTGAACCGGTCCTGGGCCTCCCCGAGGTCGACTTTTAGCGTTAAGTGAGTGCTAACCTCCGATTTGCACGGTTGGCTACATATGGTGCGAAAGAAGTTCAACATAAATGCAAACTAACGGCATTGGGGAGACAAAGGCGGCCGTTTATGGTGCTCACCACCCACCCCTTCGTGTGCCGTGCCGGCCTTCATAGGTGCTCGTTAACAGCACTTGCCACAACCGTCTGTTACAGGCTATACGGGGGATCTTTGTCTTTGGAGGCAATCTCAATTGGCCATGATGAATGTGGGCAGCCTCGTTGTTGTGAATTTTATGTCCATTGGTAATTGCTTTGGTTTAATTGGGATTCAGGAAGAGCTTCGCATCAAGATGTATTTATGAGCGCTGCCTCTGCCGCTCAGCATGGAAATTCATACTGCTCAGGCCGCGTTCATTACTGGGCCTGTTCGTAACTCTGCGAAACAGCCCAGAACTTGTTTTTCCAATCAACAGCAATAACAAACACAATAAACGCACACCGCACAACATGCATCTGGCCATGGCGCGCATTGGAATGCTGAAATGCCAGGGACATTTTCCCATACAGCCATTTGTAAAGAAGCGAATCTCAGGATTGGATACACGTTGCATGCTTATGGCACGCTTATGGCACTATACACACACACACAAGTAAAGTGTAAGGCAAATTGAAATTTGGACATGAAACCTTCTCCAGGAGGTCAATGCAGGCAGCGAGATCGAGGCCGAAGTCGATGAAGACCCAGTCGATGCCCTCCTTCTTGTACTCCTCCTGCTCCAGCACGAACATGTGGTGGTTGAAGAACTGCTGCAGCTTCTCGTTGGTGAAGTTGATGCACAGCTGCTCGAAGCTGTTGAACTTCACGCAGGCACGTTGGCGACACAACCATAATCATCGTCATCATCGTCGTCGTCATCACAAACGAAGTCATCGTCGCTATCAATATCGGCATCGTCACTCACTCACGTTTAGAACCCATTAGGATTTTCCAGTTTCAACCTTTGAGCCATATAACACTAAGTACTGTGCTCCCACTTTCTGCAGGTGCCATTGTTCTGAGTTGCGTGTGCGCGTGATTGAATCGTGGCAGCGTGTGTGCACTCGCGATTCTAAAGCGACAATCTACACCGTGTACACTTTAATTTCATTTTATTCACGAAAATATTTCACCTGGAAAAATCCCTCCAAATGGAACATCTCATATGCACGGGTGTCCAGGATGACATTGATACGTACGTAGAAATGCTATACATCTCTGCTTGTCTGTTGCATGGGGTTCTGAAATCCATTATGCTGGATGCTGTGTACGTTGCTAGTGCTCTGGATTTTGCACAATGTTTTGGGTTCCATTATTATATAAACCCAATAAAAATGCTTCAAGCCCAGCAACCTCCCACAACCACTAAACATTGGGCCTAGCTTCATCATCTGCTTCACAGTGACGGTGGCCCAGATTAAACTGCACAGCTGTGATTCGCTAGCTATTCAATTGCAACAAAAATGTACATTGTGTATTTATACAGTCGACTGTCATTCCTTGTCAATCACATTTCTTTGATGAAAACTGCATTACATTTTAATTACATGCACGCATTGGTATCAATTACGTTGCAGTATGCCGGATAGTGCCTATACCCAGCATGCATCTCACCCCAGTGTGTCTAGCTGGCAGAGGTTTGACTCTGAAGTTGAAGACAAACGTAATAATCCTCAGTGGGTGATATCTAAACAACAGGTGGAGAGAAGGGCTTTCAATCAACATAACTCACCAGGTTAATGATTCACGTTGTACGGACAAATGTGTTACTCTACACTGCAGAACTTTGCTAATAGGTGTGGGTATTGCAGGACACACAGCATTCAACATCTAATATATATTCAGGGCCTGGCCACACTTTATGGGGCTGGCCGCGTTTCGAGCCGAGCCATAAAGGATGTGTCCTTTACTGTTATTCGTGTTTTTCCCCCGTCAACAAAATGATAGTTAGTTTAACGCACGTCGTACTCAGATTGTAAATGTTGTGGCTTGGCTCTCCACCACACCGGTGTTGCTGTACTAGTGACGAATTGGCACGTTCTGTTTACGTGACAACCCTTACGAGTTGGCTGTGTCGGTGGGTGGCGGGTTTAACAACACATTTATATATTTACGCGATCTAACAAAAAAAAAACCTCTATTAAAAATGATAGTCACGTAGCATTCCAGACTAATTATTATTATTATTGCTCGAGGGCAGTGGTTCTCAACGTTTGTTTGGCTGCTGTAACTCCCCTTGTTGAATCTTGTTACAACCGAGTAACCCACCCCGTCTTGCCTGACCCCCAACATGGTTCTGAGAAATAAATGTTATGAACAATGAACGTAAATATTTTAACCAATTGTCCATTTTGTGAGGTGTCCCTAACTCGCGAGTGACTGCAAGCGAATAATAAGCAATATTTAAAATACATTTTTAAAAAAATACACGCTTTAATGATATTTACTAGTAATGGCAGAACTCCAAGACTCTAGGAAGTGGCCCCGAAGCTTGCCATAACGTAAGGGACCGTGGCCAATTACAGCCAACGTCAGTTGACCGTGGCCAATTAGACCCAAGCCGAAACATTACATATAAAAAAGAATGTTAAAAAATATATATTATTTTTTTATGATAGAATATAGTATTGTCATCAGTATGACATAAGTATACGAAGTTTGCAGTCGATACCACATTGGGAAGTGGGTTAAAATTGAGTTACAAGATTTGAGAACACAACAACAACAACAGACAGAGCGAGTTCATAAAAAGCGTGTAAAAGAATAAAAAAAATCAACGCGGACGCTGCGCGCGTGACATCATTTGTTTGCGCTTTGCTGGGTCCTCTTGTAAACACGCATCGTTTACCATCAACGAGTTTAGAAAGGTCTTTCATATTGTTCTCGGTTACCATGTGGATTGATATTGTGTCTCAGCTATTTTACATCGCCAAATTCTCACGTGACCATTCACCAATGACTCTCGTGCACGGTGATGTAATGTCACACGTTTATACATCACCCTCACGTGGACTCCAGGGGTCAGAGGTCCACGTGCCCCCGGTTGAGAGCCACTGCTCTAGGCACACAACGGGGCAAATGCATCCCGATTCCAGGCGGTGTAACATGTGGAAGGCAAGCGGCTGACGCACACAGCGGTGTAGGAGACAAACGGACGCAGACATTCACCTCAAAGATCTCAAAGCCAGCGATGTCCAGCACGCCGATGAAGTATTGCCGCGGCTTGGTTGTGTCAAGGGTTTTGTTGACGCGAGCCACCAGCCACTTGAACATTCTGTCGTAGATGGCTTTGGCCAAGGCACCGATCGAGGACACGCACTTTTGAGACAAGTACAAAAAACACGGGGGGGGGGGGGGGGGGAATGGAAATACGGAGTCAACATCCAAAAGTAGCCGTCATTATTCCGGTCTGAGAAAGAAAAAACACGCGTGCACTTTCAGACGCTCTTCTGCGTTTTCTCCTGAAGGTAAACAGAGCCAGGATCTATAAATATATACTTGCTTTGTCAAAAAACCCCACGATACATTTGTACGGGCATCAATTCGAGTTACCAGCTGTGTGTTTTAAAGTGAGTGCACATTCACCATACCTCACGGGGTTCACGTGAAAAAGTTAATTACGACATAATTAGGGCTGTTCTGCAAGGGTATTGAATTAGATGATTTTGTAACATATGTCAGTGTGAATTTATACTCTTTGCTTTTTTCGGTAAAGTCACGGAGGTAAACATTTTAAATAAATTAAATAACGGTGTGCTTTCACTACGTTGTCCCCACCTGAAGAAGGACGCTTGCATTGCGCCCGAAACGTCGTGATTTAATTTATTAATTTTTTTTACCTACGTGACTTTACCGAAGAAACCAAAGAGTATGGATCCTTGCACTCACGAAAACTTCAAATCTAGAAAGTGTGATTTTAGTACAAAAAAAATGCAAAGCGAGTGAGGCAAGGCCCTGCTACTAATGCAGTATGTTCCATTCCCCGCCAGACGATGATACTCGATAACAGACGTGATTAATGATTGCAACACCCTTGCACAACTGAACATGAGAAGGGGCAGCGAGCTGTTATAAATATTTTTTTCTTATCGACAATAGCACATAGACAAAACGGTTATCTGGCACGGTGTAACCTTCATATCATACCTGATCCATGTTTTGGCTCTTCTGCACGTATTCATTTCCAACCTTGACTTTGGGCCGCGTGATGCCCTTTTGCAGCTCGCTTGAGTCAATCCCTGCCAGGCAAGCCACTCGGTCCGCCACTACACACCATCAAAGCAGAACGCCACACCAACGGGGCAAGAAACGTGTTTTATGAATGTGAGTGAGCGTTTTTCAAATTAAATGTCAATCATTGCTCGTGGCTTTCATCATCGAATGAGGAATGAGGCTGTGCCGATCTCCTGTTTACAGCCCAGCCCAGTCATGGACATGTCCACATTCCTCTGGTAACCACGGTTGACTTCTAGCGAGATAACTAATTTTAGTTTCCCTTTAACAATACATACATTCAATTTGTTTAAAGGTACTGCATGCATTATTGCTTTTACTTACGGATACATATACGTTATACATTTGTTGCATAACATTCGTGTTTTCCTTCTTTAATTTGTTTATACCGGAGGAGGCCAATTAGCTACAAAGCAGATATCCAGTCGGGGCGGCTCAGCAAGTTATGACAACAAGCAATGCAACAAACAATCGGAGTGCAAAATAGAAAAAAAGGTTGGCAAGCCGCGAAAAACAAATACATCAAAATAAATGAAAGCATACAAGTAGAAATTGCATAAGTGCATACATTTATCATACTTAACAGAGCTTTATTTATTTAGTCAAGTTGAGAGGATGCGATAATCAGAAGTCCTGATGAGTTCTCTACCTCTGCTGATTTTAAGAATTGCCAAAGATGTGAATGCAGGAATCTCCTGACCTGGTGCCTTGAGACTCACTTTAGCTTTCTATAATAATTGGTGTTATAATGTTATCATTATGAATAAACACATTTCTTCAATGGGAATAACAATCAATGTAATTGGAAATAGTTTGTCATTCAGACATTTTAGGCAGTGTAGTTTTTCTCCCAATGCCTTTGTCATTTTGCATTAAAAAAAAAACCTTTTAATCATAACAATGGCACGTGTAGCATGATGTGTAATTCAATATACTTATGAAACATGATACTTTTTCGTTTCAATTAAATATTTGAGTGGTTGACAAGAACCAAAAAAACATTACCTGTGAAGTGAATAAAATACAACCCAATACTCACCGAAACAATGTTCACATTTCTACTTCTTAGAGGGGTTGGTGGTTCATGATACAATAGTAACTCACAATCTTGAACGATTCGTCTAAGAATGTGTGACAACGTTTAAGATTCGCATCGCAACAGTGACTAAGAACATCGCCTGGACTAACGGTTGTGAACAGACAATGGAATCTTAGCTTCTGCGGGGCGGGGAAGGGGGGGGGGCAAAACATTCATTGGAGGCAAGGAATTGGCCTTTGGGATGGATGGGCAAGGCACAGCTGACTGCTATTTAATCTGTCGTCGGAGAGATGCACCGTGGCTAGGATGCTGAATGGAATAATTTTCTCAGTACGACGACCTACTCGTGGTCAATGCTTCCTGCAAGACCTCCATCAAATAGTGACCACGTCGTGCCTTCGCTCAGTATGCAGCTTTAGAGTTTATATTGACATTCAGTTGTGTATTGTTTGAGATAATGCCATGTGGAGGTCACCGGCTGCATCACGGAGTTATTTTTTTTTTTATTCCGAGGGCCAATTTAGGAAGCGACTTTGTACTATCTTTTTTTAAAGGGGCAAATTTATCATGAAAATAAACAAACAAAGATGCACTATCCCGTTGCTGCATACCACCTGCGATGCACATGAACCAGCCGGGAGATCATTAAAAACCATTGCACATGAAGTTTGCTGCGAGACTCACAGACAATACGTTCTCTGGCACGACGAAACGTCCAGTGCACAAAGCAAAAGGGCCACATAGCAAACCTTCTGTGCCATCGACCTCCGCCTGCTCCTCTCGGGGCTTCTGCCGAAACTTCATGTTGCCGAAGTGCATGATCCCGCCCGTCAATTTGTACAGACTCATCTTTTCTTCCGGAGTGAAGCCCAACACATCAAAGGCTTCCTGCCAAACAAGCAACAGGAAAGAAGACATCTCAAAAACAAAACAAACCATTTGCAAACGCACTTTTTTTGTATCTTCTTAAGATCAATGAACGTAATAGCCAATGGCGGAGCCAGGATTTTCAGGTAAGGGGGGCAACCCCTCCAGCAATGAAACATGATAGAGGAGTTGTTAGTAAGTAAGGACTTGTTTCTTCGACGCGTGTGCGGCGATGGCGCAGCCATCGATCGAGGGTCGAATTCGAACCGCGTTGTGTGATCGGCATCGCGCTCGCTGAAGCTGTTGATGCCTTCAGGGATGTCGTGAACTGAATACGAAACTGCGCACAATTCTGTGAGTCACTTATAACTGCTTTGCCGTTACTTATTGCCAATGATGGACTCAGACTATTGTCCTATCAACTCATAGAGTCCATAGCACATAATATATGATACACAGTGGCAGTGGGGGTCGCAAAATGCCGATTTATTACTAATAAACCCCAATGATCCGATCGAAATTAGGGATTTCGATCTGATCATTGGGGGGGCACGTGCCACCCCTCCCAACTGGCTCTGCCAGTGATAATAGCCACCAATTTTTGTAATGAACATCGACGCTTATATTTTATATAACCATATATTATTAGTAGTTGAAAAAGTAAGATTAGACGTGTTAAGTAACAAGTTATGATGACCTCGGAATAATAACAGTAGTGTTTGCAAATATATATTTTAAACAGAAATGACACACGTGGATTTGTCTTTTTGGACAGCCATCATTGTTAGTCTACTCTAACGATGATAATAAAAACAACAAAAAAGAGTGTTGCACATTGCCACGTGTAAAAAAAAAACACGTGTGTATTTTCCTACTCTATCATTGTTTATTTAATCCATTGATAATAATAATAATGATGAAAAAAATATTTTTCACATTGCCACGTGTAAAAAAAAAACACGTGTGTATTTTCCTACTTTGCTGTTCGCCGTATGTTAAACACCTGTCAAGAAGAGTCACAAGTGCAGTGTTGTTTTTGGCTCGCTGCCTCGACAGTCTGTGGCAAGCGTCATATTGGCCACCTCCTAGAAGCCACTGCCGTCTGGTTTGTGACAAAACAAGCAAGCAAGACAATGCCCTCCCTTCACGTACACGTCCCTCGACGCTTCACATCAGCCACGTGGCTTTCTCGGTGTGCGTAAGTTCTGCAAAATTGGTTTAGACACAATCAAACTATGGAGCGGTTTCAACGGTGTCTCATCAGCAAAGTCAGTCTTGTTTGAACCAATCCTAGTGAACGGACAAATGTTACTAAGTAAGGACCCTCTCCGTTATATATGGGTCTTCGTTTGATGGACCGATATGTGAAGGAAGCTTATTGTCCGCTTATTTATTTTGCTACTTATGTTCTCGACAGTGACCTAATGCTTATCTTCAGACTTGATTTAACGTTCCCAAAGAGACTATCCGTAGTGTCCACATATCATGTTTATACCCAACGCATACAGTGACTTTATTATGTTTATCTAACCAGGTAAGGCCCACTGAGCTCTGCAGCTCTTTATAAGAAGTGGCCTCGCTATCGAAAATGAGAGCTCAACGAAGTGACGAGTCATCACGTGGACGTTTATAGCAGGCAAATACTCCAAAACAAGGTTTTTAGTTACGACCTGAAAATTATGGCCTTGCACCATTATTTTTTGTTGTTGTGGTAACATTATATAATAATTCGAATAATTACAGGCCATGGTCAATCCACTGCTGGACGAAGGCCTGCCCACACCTCATCAGTCACGTGTGGTTTATTTGCCCACACTTTTCCATGCTGGTGAGTGCGTGTTGGTGGCATGAGTGAGGCCAGCCTGGTTCAGGCATCACTCATGGTTGATGTAAGCCACGGCGAGGAACTACACAAATGAAGTGCATAGCCAATCTTCTTGGTTCTATCGGTAAAGTCACGTAGAAGGAAAATAATAAAATAATAAAAATAAAACATAATAAAATAATTCTCACGACGTTTCAGCCACAACGCAAGCAGCCGTCTTCAGGTGGAGAACAGGTCTGTCAAGTAGACAGAGTCTGAATTGGCTGCTTGCGTTGTGGCCGAAACGTCGTGAGAATTATTTTATTATGTTTTATTTTTATTATTTTATTATTTTCCTTCTACGTGACTTTACCGAAAGAACCAAGAAGATGAATCCCCGCAGTCGCGAAAGCTTTAAATCGAAATTTAATGCATAGCCAATGTTAACGCAATTGTGTTTTGTTCAGCCATAGGTGACCAGGCTCAAACCATCACCTACCAGCATGTATTGTTTAGTTATCAACTTGTGAACCAGCTGGACCAAAATTTGTCTTGAACATTAAACCATCACCTTGATGATACCACAGAACTCAATCCACAATAATTATAATGCTCACCACGTTTCTAATACCCACAATGCAGCACTTGGAATAGAGATTGGCCCGCTATTGCGTGTGCCACCAACATTTAGGGAGCAGATCATTCATCGGCCCCAAATGGCAGACTCAAGTGCCATTTGCAGTCAGACTAAAGCCCATTCACATGCCAGTGCTGTAAATAACTCGTGAGGCATAGGGAGAGCTGCCCCTGGGGATCCCCTTGGTTCAACTGCAGCAGGGCATTGAAATGGTTGAGATGGGATGATGTGAGTCGTTTTGAGTTGCTAAGGCTATAGAAGCACTCTATAAACGAAAATCCGTATCCTTGTACAGAAACCTGACATTTTACCGTCGAGTATTTAACAGAGCCTACCGCCGGTTGCTTTCGCGCGAACACGTTTTTGAAACCCACGGCGCTGCGGCGACACGCATCTGCCACTCATTTTTTTTGCCGCATCGACACGAAAAAAACCCACCACCCCGCGTGAACGTTTTGAACAGTGAGCGCAGGCTGACAAAAAGGCCGCGCCGTTGCTTAGAAATCGACGTACGTCGGTAAGCATCATTTCTTCGGCGTCGTCCATGTTTTCAACAGAGGTGACGCCCTGGGAGATGGAGGCATACTCCTTCGGGTTATTGACCAGACCGACTTCCTCTGAATGGATAAAAACGAGACAAAAGAGTAGAGACGTGAGCGCAACTGCATGTTCTAACAAGAAAAGTTGGACTAAAAACAAAAAAATGTCGGTGATTGTTTTCAGTTGTATGTGTAAGAAAAAAAGCTCTGACAATTAACGCATGCGTTGGTTTACCTCATGAAAACCGTGGCACCATTAACGCACAAACGACGTGATTTAAATTACATCTACCGCTTGTTAAGGTCAAAGATTTTAGCCGTTTCAGAAACGTCTTGGAAGCCTCACCCAGGAGGTTGGGTACTTTCCCCGAGAGGAGTTGATAGAAGATGTGATAGCCTCGTTCTGCAGGCTGCTGGGAGATTACCCGAGACTTTTCCAGCAGATCTGGGGAAAAAATGCAGACCGTCCCAGAATGAGCAGTGATCATAAAAAAATAATATTAGCGTATATAAATTTAGCAAACATGTCACTTGTATAATGAAGAAGTAAATATGCGTTAAAAGGCAGCTGCACTTACATGTTTCAATATCCGCTCCGGAAAGTTTTCCAGACACGGCGAAATGGATTCTTATGAATTTTCCCTATTAAGGCAAAAAAAGCATGAATCTACATTGAAGCATGCGTGCATTAAAACATACACAGATCACATTTAGTGGAGACAAAGTGAATGAATTATGACTCTTTTTACATCGTTTTTTCATGTCATGTGTGCGTCTCAGGACACTGGCTTCGTAGCAATCGTGCTCGAACTGCTGCGCCACCACCCAGAGACGCAAAAACTGTTATTTTCCCCTCGAGTAAAACCGTATCGAAAAGCCGAACCAATATAAGACTTACAAATCGGGATGAGTTGTTGTTTCTTGTGGTCTTGGCGTTGCCAAAGGCCTCCAGCACAGGGTTGGCCTGGATGATTTGATCCTCCAGGGAGCCCTATGCATGAAAGGAAAAGTACGTTAAGTTTTGCCTGCTGCAGGCAAAAAAGCAGAACAGTCTGCAAGGTTACCCTTTGTTACGTTGAGTGACTTGAAATATACTGTGAGATTGCCGCTGTTGTAAAGCACAGGTATGCTTTCTGCTTTTTCATAACAGAGACCAAAAATATAAATGGGAAGCTAAATAATAATTGTAAAGTCTCATTATAACCATAGCGCAGCAAACGCTGTCATACACATCGACCACAAACTTGGACGAGTGGCTCACGATCCAATTTCTTCTTCTTTCAATCGCTATGCCCATGATGCACAAACCCCCGGATTCAAACGCTCGGCTCCACCAGACACAAATACACACATTCCCAATTGCAAAGCATTGAAACACAATTGATTATTCTTTTTTGTGACCAACCCCATCCTCATTTAATATACAGAGGAACTTATCAGTTCGGGGGTGGGAAGGGCGCATTGTTTCACGACACAATCTCGATGTGTAAAGTGTCTGAATTGAATTGTTTTTCCTGTTGTGCAATCGGAGATGACTGATCGGGCTCTGGGTCGTGAGCGGTGATCATGTGAGAGGGGACACGGGGGGATTGCAAATCTGTGAAGCATGGCGGAGGGAATCGGCCAATGTGGGGGTCTTAACGTGGTTATGAAAGGTAAATCAGAATCAGAATATGTATTTATCCTGGAGAAATCCAATGAACTATAAAGCTCCTATTTCACAGATGTTCAGTAGGAGCGGGTCAAAAAGTTACAACAACAAACAATACACAAAAACAAACACGATGGGAGTGCAAAGTATAGGAAAGATAAACAGACGACAAAAAATAGATGCATTTAAAAAAATACAGAGTATATGAGCAATGCAATTGTTTGCAAATGTGCTGGAGCTCTCGAGGGGTCTCTACATGGTAATTTGGCCTACTCTTCCACGCTGGCCAGACGTCTTGGAAGAGTACCCACGCTCTACCCCAGCACAAGTGGCACACGCTGTTTACCAGTCACGTACTGCTGGGTGGACAGAGGTGGGTTGGGGGGATTTAAGAAACTTAATATCACAACAGGGTTGTCCAGCAGCGGGAGACATGTAATTTGGGACTGTTCTGGAAGGAGAATAAAACAAGCCTTAATGAATTATTAAATATTAAACATGATGCCTAGAGGTTGAAGCTGTATGTGGTAATAATAATAATGATAAGCACCATCTAAAAAAACAAACTTGAAAATAACTTTAATTACCAACGGACATAACAGTTCGATACCACCGTTCCCACAATGCACTATTTGAGCGCAGCAGCAGCGGATAGACTTTTCTCTCCGCAGATAAGCTGCCTAGGGCTCCACGCATGCAGCACGATGGCCACACGTACGTGTAAAGTGTCGTCTAACAGCACCGTCACCTTGCTCTGGTCGATCTGTTTGTTGCCTCCTCCAATGTTGGCAAAGTACTGGATGACCTTTTTAGTGTTCTCAGTCTTGCCGGCACCGGATTCCCCGCTGATGCCATGGGACATGGGAAGGAAAATAACAAAATATACAATAAAAAAATGCATGCGACCACCACTGTAATCATCATCATCATCACCAGGCTATCGTCAGGCGGTATAGCACGTGGCAGCCCCAACGTTCGAAATCTGAAACGGTGACAGCAAGAGTGCCTTCTGCATAAAGCGGCAGTGTAAGTCAAACATTTATTTTTCCACGTATTTATTACGTATCCCACTGGGTGCGACGTTCATTGTATTTTATATATTGTAAATGCGTGTATGCGTGTCATTATGTGTTTGCTATGTATGTGTCAAGAGACACCCAAATAAAATATTTTAATAAATACGTTAAAAAATTTAAGCCCATTGCGGCCCCTAAGTAGCAAAACTCTCTTGTTGTGTGCCCCCCTTTCAAATCAAACAATCCGAGTGAGATGACAGAAGAGATATTGACAAGAGCGACGAGAGGTACATGTGTAGTGAGATAAGATACATCTAGACAAAGTAGAGGATGTAGTGTGAGGTAAAAGAAGATATACAAACAAGATATACATTATAAAAATTAATTTATTTTAATGTGTGATAGTAATTAAATTTGAGCTGATATTTCATGCACCTCAAGGTTTTCATGAATATGGAGCCTCTTGAGCTTCTTATTGCCTCACTAGCTTTTCCTTTAATAAAATAATAATTCGTATTATAACGTTTAAGCCTTTCTCAATCCACTGCTGGATGAGGGCCTCCCAACTTCGCCATGCTGTTCAGTGCAGGTTGGTGCAGTGGGGCTGTTAGAATAGTTCAGATGTGGTTGGCCAGCGACGCTACATTTGGCCGTGAATCAAACCCTCATATAAATAAATCATGTACAGCATAAATAATTACTCACGTAATCAGCATAGACTGGTTGGCTTTATCTGCAGGTAAAAAAAACATGAGATCATTACAAAAAAATGCACGCAACAATAATATGGCGATGCTCTATCGAGTGTGCATACCCATGCATGTTGATTCACAAGTTTGCATCATTAGCCATGATGGATGAAGTCCTTTCCGAGCCACCGCCACCTGTCAAGATTCCAGCGACATAACTATACATCCAGTACCTGCGCACAAAACCCATCTCATCACTCCATCTCTTTGGTGGACGTCCAGCCCCCCCCTGGACGCATTCCCATCCCTCTGCCGCCGCTCCGTTATTTTATTCTTGACCCCTTCTGTCCAAGGCCCAACCGCTCACCTTTCTCCATCTGCGGACAATCTCCAGTGTGTCGGTGCTCCTGTCTTCCCGGCACATCGCCGCGATTCCGAGCGCACGAGCGAGGCAAAATCGTAACGCAAATCGCACGGCGCGCAGCGGGAGTGAGGAGGTGGGCTTTGCTCCGCGGAGCCGCTTACTTATCAGCATGTCGCTGTAGGCATTGTCGGAGATGGAGAAGAGGTGAGGTGGCACCTCGTTGCGCTTCTTGCCACGGTACATCTTGGCAACTCTGCTCCCGTATATGGGCAGCCACTTGTACGGGTTGATGGTGACGCAGAAGAGCCCAGAGTAGGTCTGCACACAGCAGAATGTTCTTAGGTTTTTTCGGTAAAGTCACGTAGGTACATTTTTTAACATTAATGAAAGTAAAATAAAAAATAAAATAAAAATCACGACGTTTCGGAGGCAACACAAGCTTCCGTCTTCAGGTGGAACCGTCACAGCACGAGACAGCTATTTAAAATTGTACTTTTATTAATTTATTTATTTTTTACCTACGTGACTTTACCGAAAAAACCTAAGAATATGAATCCTTGCAGTCACGAAAGCTTCAAATCTACACAGCAGAATGTTTACGATCAGAGTCTTTACGTCGACTTTGGAGGATATCCGATGAGCTGCACGGCTCTTTCGCACCGTTATCTCGCGGGGGAATGTTGCCGGACACCCGGTCTCTTTATAAAAAATGTTCTATTAATTTGAAGAATTGCTGTTAACATCGATCAATGTGGTTTTTTGTTGTATAGTGCACTTCACATCAATAAAGGCATCTCTGAGCACTTGATGTAAAAATACATTCTTGACGGTCAAATAGTCAGCATCAGTTTTGTACAATTCGTGGTGTTTTATAAAAATAAAGGCATTTAACATGTTCACATCCTACCATATTTATCATATTCTTAAAAAGAGAAGTCACTAAATCATAACAATGTCCTGCATCAAATGAACAAATACACAATTGAAGTATGGTGGGTGACATTTACTGTACAGTATGTTAGTAACAACGGTGATTTTACATTTTCTCTGTTCATAGTTCACAATTATAATTGGCCTGATGGACCCTGAATTTTTCATCACAAAGTATGTTACAACATTCTCTGTCATTGTTAACATGATGATGTATTCATCTTTACATGTGCTTCTGAATGCCTTTAAATAGCAAACATTTTTTTATTATTATTATACATATCATTGTGATATGCGGGTCTGCCAAACATACTTTATTTACAATGTGCCAGATTGAACTCAGGTTGACAACGACTCATCGCCCAAATCCACTAACTACTAACTGCTGCGATAACAAAACAACAAACGGCATAGCAATCTATGCAGTGCTGTGTATATCCGTGATTGAATGAAACGTCTATCTGACTTGTCGAGTATAAACAAACCCAAACCCTCCCCATCCTCCATACAAAGTAAAGCGCACACACAATTCACAAAAATATCATACGCACGTAGATGCGCATTTTGACGTATCTCTCCTTGAGGTTGTTGAGAACGCTGGCTTCGTTGAGGAAGGTGAGGTTGGCCATGTCTTCTATCTGCTCAAACTTGGGAGGGTTCATCTCCTGCACGATGTCCTTCTTCACCTTGGCGATCTGCGCACAAGAACAAGCGACGTTCTGCAATAAGCCACAAACGTAAGCTACCTGGTGACTATGAATGAGGTCCTGTGGTAGCAAGCTTTAGTGATAGCAAGCTTGACAGTAAAAACAAGCTTTATTGTAAAAATGTAAAGGTGCAGGCCCTGCGATTGTTCGCCCACACTGCTGCTGACTGACGGGATCTAGGCTACTTTGGCCTTCTCTTCTACGCTGGCCAGACGTCTTTGGAAGAGGTGGGAATACCGTACACATTTCTGCTGCTGGGTGGATAGAGACCGGTGGATTAGAACAAACATTAGCCAAATGTTTCCCGCCGTTGAGCCAAAAGATTGAAGCTCCGCAACTTTTGGAATCGCAAGCCCGGTGCGATAACCGTCGCATCGTGGCATCTTCCCTCGTTTTGCTTTTCTTTTATGCAAGGCCGTAGCCATGGAGTCAGCATTGGGGGGGACCAAATCTTCCAGGGTGTCTGGGGGTCCCAACCCAGAAAAATATTTAAATTTGAAAACTAATTTCCTGCCTAAAATATTAAAAAATTCACTAACACATGGGATGGACTTCTTTTTTTTTAACCAAAATGTCGAATAGTGTATTGTGTTACATTACTCTGTTTTACTTTTTTTTTTACCATTTCTTGTTTCATTGTATGTAATGGCAGAGATTAGGAATTTATAAAGTACAACCATAACCACAATCATATAAACAGAAATCTATTTTATAGCAATATATTGGGGGGAACATTTTGAGCATATTTTAATATTGGGGGGATGTTTCCCCCCAATATACATTATAATTGCGGCCTTGTTTTTATGTCCCCAGACATCCCTAACATTTTGTCGTCGAGCAGCCGACGTGTTGTGTTTTGTTGTTTTTACAACACGCGACCGAATCACAAACCTCATTATTGACGGTAAACTTGACGGACACGGTGTTGTCTCCGTGATCATCCTGGATCAGCGCCTGCATGAAGCCCTCCTTCTCATCTTTGACCCAACAGTTTTTCTTGATGTCAAAGGGACGGGCTTGGAACTCCAGCTTCTCCGAATCCGTGGGCTTCAGGAATGGCATGGGGTCCTCATCGTCGCCACACTCACCTTTGTACGGCATGGTGACGTCTGGATCAGAGAAGTTGACTCAGCCTTATACTGCAAACAGAGAAGAATTGAAACAATGATGACAGGACGTACCTCGACGAGGACAGACGCGGCTCAAGTCAAATGTCATTCCTGGCGATCAACTCTTGCTTCATTTCGTAAACGTGTCCGTTCTGGGTTCCGTGAGCCAATGGTTATTGATTACGTATTGGTGAATTTACATTGGTTATATTGGATTCACCTGGAATTTTAAAAAAAGATGTCACATTTTGTCGGCTGAAACCAGTTTTAAAGGAACCTTACAAAAAGTAAATGTATTGTCAGGTGTGTTTTTTAAAGTCACACAGCATGTGTTCATGTTGTTGTTACGCTTCACCGAATTAACTTGTTTGAGTTGTAAACAAGAGATGGGGAATTTTCAAATCAACTTCTGCTAATTCTGTCAAAATAGGCAGAGCGTTGTGTTTCCAGGCACACCAAACAATAAACCGACCTGGAAAAAGTCAGCCCCCGAATATCGCGTCGAGTCACGCACGAGCTCAAATATATAGCGGAGTGGCCCCCAACGTGGGCTGGGGAAATTGTCAAAAAATAAACCCAGAAGATTCCACCGTGCGCTGTCGAGGACGTCCTCGGGATATCGTGTTGGAACTTTGTATTTTGGCTTCAACTGATCCCACTCTGGAGGATCAGTGGACGCAAAGAGCTTTAAGCCCTGGTGTCCCTCCAAGGGCACAGTGCATTACTTTCAATTAGACTTTGCAAATAGAAGAACATGACTATAAATATCCAACCACTGTCACACAAAATAATGAGATCTAGCAGATGAATCATTGCATTGTTCAAACCACAACTGATGGTATGTATATTAAAATAATCATTAGTGTATGCGTATCTTTATTATGCGCACGATCATTGTGTATCGATCACAATCGTACTTTTCTGCCTCATGTTACAGAACATTGAACAAAGCAAATTTTTCATAAGTTAATTGAAAATAGGAAAAAATTACCTGTATTTCCTTTGATGTCAGATTGCATGCTGTGCACAATGCACATGCAAATTGACATTCATAGGTTTCTTGGTTCTTTCGGTAAAGTCACGTAGAAGGGAAATAATAAAATAAAAATAAAACATAATAAAATACAAAGACAACGTCTGAATTCAGACGCTGTCTTTCCGACAGCCCTGTTCTTCACCTGAGGACGGCTGCTTGCGTTGTGGCCGAAACGTCGTGAGAATTGTATTTTATTATGTTTTATTTTTATTATTTTATTATTTCCCTTCTACGTGACTTTACCGAGAGAACCAAGAAGATGAATCCCTGCAGTCACGAAATCTTTAAATCGAAAAATGCATATGTTTGTGACAGTACGCGACATACAAAACAAAAATCAGAAGGGGTAGGCAGCAATTTATTACGACAACATTTTTTAAAAGTTAAAGAGGGAACATTCTGTTATAATCAAGAAAATGTTGACGGTATTGAGTTAGATAAGATGTAAAAGCTGTGTCATTCGGTCAATACATGAAATTGATGATCGAGATGGGCAAAATGTTATATTGAAGTGTCAAACTAAATATTGATAAGAGCAACTTTACAAAAAAAAAGTAATATGCTATGTTCTTGTGTTTCTCAGTTTTATGAAAATCAATAGGCAAGTTGTTTTATCTGCAGCGTACGTTTCTCAGTCTTAATCTCTCCATCTTCATAAACCATGTACTCGTGGCTCTCTCATATAAAGGGTTGTATTTTTCGATGTAAACGCTTACCACCAAACTGGCAATCCAGTAACAACTCGTCACAGCATCATAGTGCTTTAGTTTGCAACAACAATTCCCACAGAGCACGCGGCAAGAGAAACAGATTACCGCATAACGACTTTGTAAAAAAAAAACATCTAAGCTGCAACCATAAAATTACTTAATCATTCCACAGTTGACGGAAGGCCCTCCATAAGAGCGAGAGAGAGACCCTCTGTAGTAAGACAATATTCTGGCCTACTCTTTCACACTGGAAAGATGTCTTGATAGAGGTGGCACTCTACCACACCAACAACAAAGATCCCCCGCACAGCATTAACAGGCTGTAGGAGCAAGTGCTGTTAGCGAGCACCTATGAAGGCCAGCACGGCACACTAGGGGGTGGGTGACCAGTACCACGCCCGACCTCCTTTGTCTCCCCAGTCGCGATGTTTACACACCGCACCAGGTACTCATTTAAGGCTGAGTCGACCTAGAGGGAGGATGCCCAGGACCGGTTCAGATAATCGTCACCGGTGTTGGCCGTGAGTGGGAACCGAACTCGGGTGGCACCACCGCTCTACCCCACCACGTCACACGCGACCCACTACTGATCGACTCACCGTGGTCGACGCATACTTGGTGGACTAGAGGCGTGGGTGATTTGGGAAACGTGGATCAGGAGCTAGAACCGCCAACCTCTAAACTGTGCAAGTCCGCACTTTGCTCAAGCATGAACGCCACGGCAGAGTGAGTTTCACTCATGCAAGTTCAGCCTGATTATGATGCAAACATTGCTGCACAGTTACCTGAAGTTTAATGTAGCCTGCTTGTATGCATTAATTATACAGGCAACGTTTAAAATATTCAAACAGTTAACCCTCTTCCTTCCCTTCTATCAATTCCACATTCCCCTTAGCTTCTTAATTTAGCCTTCTGTCAACAGGAATGTTAATACGTTCATTACGAGCCTAATGACGCTGCTAATGTTCCACAGCCCTTTGATTTTTAACTTCCTATTTTAACTTGTAATATAAACAATTGAGCACAGCTGCCGTGTAACACTGGCAGTTATTGCGACACGGGGAGTTGGCTGTCCTTGATGGATCCATTAGGGAGACAGGGCTACCATCCCCTTGATACCAGAGGTATTTGCTTGGTAAAGGGAAGGCCAAACATGGGGCATTGTATACATTGCGGCACTCTCCCCAACAGCACTTGCTCACAGAATGCTTCCGCTCTGGGAATATTCGTAACACGTTTTAAATGTACTGACAATGCATGACCTTACGATGTATTCGTTGCTGACCGAAGAATGCACCGTGCGGTCGCACTCGTTACACACAGAGCGCTCGCCACAAATGAAGCACAACACCTGCGCTGATCTCGTCAGGGAGAATGAACGCTCATCACGTGGTCATCCTCGTAGCAGCAGCGGCTGATTGTGGCTGGCCGTCGAACAAAGACGGCGGCGGTCACCGCATCGCGAGCGCTTTCAGATGCGCTTCTGCGGCCGTCTGGAACGCTCTTGGTTCCTTTCCGATATTAGGATGCCAATGGAGCTGTGCACATTTAAATCTCGATTGAAAACTCATTTCTCGAGAACTGCTTTTTGTGTTTAGTTTGTTGTCCTTCCCCCGCACCTCTGATCAGCGCGGTTGGCTACGTACGGTGCGAAAGTAGTTTAACACAGATACATAGATGAATCTTCCAAAAATGACAACATTCATCTTCAAGATCATTGTTTAGAGAACAATGCCTGCTAGATTGTGAGTTTTTTCGTACAATGTATTTTTTTTTCTTGTGAGGTCAATACGTGACTATGATTCTGAATTTTAATATTCCAGATCAGTATTTAAGGAACAATGCTCACTGGATATTAACATATGGAAATGCATTGTATAAAAGTAAAGGTGCAGCATTGCAATTACTTGGTCACACCACTGCTGGTAAAAGAGCATAGCAGGGACAGACGTTGGAATACCCTCACTTTACCCCACAACACACAGCCTGCTGATCAACTCAATTTGTTGATACACACAGTATATTTTGTTATGTTCGTGTAGTCAATATACGATCGCTGTCATTTTGAACGCGTTGACCTCAAAGCTCAAATGTAAAATTTAGCAGCTTTTTAAAATATGCTGGTGGGCATCCCTGGCCAAACTGATGCATTAAACAGTAACCTTAGTCTGGCTATGGCTTCACGGCAATGTCTAGCATTTGGCAAATTGCTTTTTATCCTGTTTAAGTAATCAACCTCAGAGTGTTCTTGTTAAGGGCTCCTCATCCAACACTGAACCTGTTACCATCGCTGTTCCCCAGGGAGCTCTTATTGAGCTCCTGCCCTTTCGTCTCTACATCAATGACCTACATTCTATTACACCACGGGCACGAGCCTTGTACACCACGTGCTGATAACGTTCCCCTCTACAAACCCTATCTCCTCCATTGCCATCTCACATCTCTTCAAATGTCCATTCGTACGAGCCGTGACGATGTCCAAAAGCCACCATAAAAATGCAACAACACTGACCCCCACCCGTCCCCTCGTGGACGATTCTTCAGAAGGTGTTCACGCTCGCATTGATATACACACATCGATTTCCTTAGGCTGATTGGATTGTTTTATCACCTTCTAAATTCTGTAATGTTCCTGGTGAAACTAATCTTTTATTACGACTTCTTTGTCCGACATCATCATGAGTTGTACAATTTTTAGAAACTCAAACCACTACAATGGAAATGAATGTAAATAAAAAAAGCCTAACAACCGGAATGAACCCTTAACGTAGTCATATCTCCCTCTCACACCATTCCAACCTCATGCCAGATTTTTCTACAGACGCCGTCTGGCCAGGGGGTGGGGGTGGGGGGAGGGGGTTTGTTTTTACCAAGTTTAACCATACTTCTCCACGCTGGTTACCGATTAGGCGTCCATACCTGTCAACCCCTTATCAGTGCCCTACCTTATTACAGACAAATTCAGACCTTATTGGTCACCCCCGTGCCCCATAGAAATCTCAACCTTCATCCTATACACTACACTACACACTACTACAGACTACACACTACTACACACTACACTATATACTACAGTATACACTACACAGCTGTCAACCCCTTATCAGTGCCCCCTACCTTATTACAGACAAATTTAGACCTTATTGGTCACCCCGTGCCTCTTATAAATCTCAACGTTCATCCTACAAAGCCTCATCACGTGCAGGGCCAGATTAACATTTTGTAGGCCCCTGGGCTACAAGTACTGTGATGCCCCCAATAATATTTTCAAAAGGAAA